TGAAGGGTTTTAAAGAAAATAAAATGGGTGATAAATTTTTTATTTCGAGTAAATTTAATTTAAGAATATTTTAGAATGAAAGCAATAAAAATATTATTATAAAAAATTAACCCTTTCTTTCATTACCACGCATCCTCCATGCATCCAATCATACCTAAGTAAAATGTGATTAAATTAAAGACGAACTTATAATCACGACATATTAAATAAGAGGTAACTTTCAAGCTAACATGTGATATAAATGGTCGCATAAATTGAGTTCCTTGTCGTTAAATATAAATGTTAACAATTTATTTAGCTACCTACATGAAGGAGATAGTTTATAGCTAGAAACTGTCCGCAAACTAAGCTGGCCCGTATAAAAACAATTCAGCATTAGATTCTCGTACCATGACTGAACGAGGAATCTACCTTAATATATATACCGCGTTTCGGTTCATGTTAAGACCCCAAAAGAATATGTTATGGATTTCTTAACCTAGGTGATGTGCTATTTCTAACAAAACAAAAACAAATGAAACATGCATAAACAATTCCTTGGGTTTCTGGCAGATTGTCCCTTGGGAAAATCCAAGCAGGTGTAAGTAGTGGCCTAACTCAATAAACTATAGGACTAATTTTAGATTCAGAACAAGTCAATAAGACAAGATTAATTTTTTAGATTACTAGCTAGCAATATGGTAGTTAAAGTAAGTGAATGGCTTTATCCCCACCTTTTCTTTTCTTCTTTAGTTTCTAAATAAATAAGTAGATGGTAGTCTCTATTCTACAACTTACATGACCCGACAATCTACATAGGTTGTTCCTTTAAAAGACTGAAATAGTATTGCAATTTATTGTATATATAGTACAATTATTTGTCAACAGTTAAGTGTGTGTTCAAACCAAATAGGTTAGGAATTGAAGGAAAGAAAACCAGTCAGCTCCAAGTCACATGGGTAAGTCAGTGTGGAAAGAAACCTTGCTTAGTGGATTAGGTTTGAATTTTATTCTCCGAAGTTACTGAAATGTTAGCTGGATTGCTTTTGAGGCTTTCTTAACAATCTAATTGTGAGAACTATAAGAAAAGTAAATCAATTTACAATAGAAACTTCAGATCAATAATACCAAGATGGTACGAAATTGATTATTTAAAAATAATGGATATAAAAGTTTCTTTTGAGAACAATGATTTAGATTCATCTGAAATGGTATACACATATCGTTCTTTCCCTTTCTTTTTCTTTTTTTGGTAATATCGTTCTTTCCCTTTTTACTACTTACAAAACCTTTCCTTAATATTTTACCAAAACCTTCATCGATAATAATAATAATAAAATAGAGTAAAAATACTTACCCATATTTATATTTATGTACTCCTAACATATTTGTTTTTATTAATAACATGTTGGGTCTTATTAACCTTATTTTAGTTATTGTGCGCATGCTTCACATAATTTATGAAACTATCATTTTCCTGAATATACAATACAGTGAGACACTTCAGAATAGCCCAATCATAATGAATCCTATAAAAAAGAAAAAGGGAAAATAAAAAACAAGTAGGTTTCACATATATAGAAGCATTATTGAACGATGGACTTTTTTCACCACTCACTTGAGACATTTTATTTCTCTTTTCCTTTTGAGTTAATTCATTTATTAAAATTACTAATGTTTTACAATTTCCCAATATTCATGAAGCGTATGACAGGTGATAATTGAAATTAATTAAGCATTATTTTAGTAAACGAATCACTATTTTTTAGATTTTTTTTTTAATAGATAACAATTTAGAGAAAAGAAATGTTGTTCTGTTTCAATAATTTTAAACTACATCAATGGAAATAATTGATAATAAAGTAAGATCGTATTAGTATTTTCCAGTTAACAATGATATTTATATCATACAACTTCACTAAGTAAAAATAGATCTAAAATAGTCTTACATGATCCATATATATTAATAGGGAAAAATATTTGTCCTTTTAAAGGATGTATAGTTATGCCATTTTAAGATAGAGAAAGACATTTAGTATTTTTTATTTAAAATTTAAATTTAAAAAAATCACTTATTTTCTCTCCCGTGATTTTCATTACTTGTGTCTTTCTCTTACTTAAAATAACATAACTCCATGTCTTTTAAAAAGACAAACACTAAACCCTAATTAATATATCAAAACTGAAACTACCTACGAGTAGAAGTGTTTATCAATCGATTCAAATTGAAGTGACCGAACCGAAAAATCGATAACCGAATTAATCGAAAATCGAAAAAAAATTGCAAATTTTAATTTGATTGGATCGGTTTTTCGAAAACCGATCCAATATATTAATCTCGTCTACCTACTTGAGCCAATTCCCTAATCATAGTTTAAAAATTCTAAACCCAAAATCCACTAATCCATTAGCTAAACCCAACAAAATTTATTGGTACATTCTAGCAAGTTTTCGTTATTACCGTCATTGTGATTTAAACCTTTGGATAATATACTACAGAAGTATGAATTTTTTGCTACATAAATATTGCATTTGAATTGAGTTAAGAATTTGTTTTTATTTAGTTTTATAATTTTCACGTCAATGTGATACTACTCTAAAATTTATGTGCCAAAATCTGAAATAAAAAATTATTTTAAGATCTCTCTGTATTAGTAATTGAGATTAATTTTTCTTACTTTGTTATTGTCTAATTTTCCTTCTTATCCATTAGATGATAGATACTTGAAATCGAGTTTACCCAGTTTTAATTTTTTGTTGTACTATATTGAAAATTAGATTATCGTTTATTGATATTTCTAGATTGCACAGTAATCATTATACAAACTTTACAAAGCCAATACATACAAAATATGTGTTATTTGCACAATAATCATCATACAAATTTTAGGCTTTTCAAAAAATCGAAAATCGATCCAATCCAAATCGAATAATATTGGATTGGATGAGATAGGATCGGATTTGAAAAAAAAATTCAAACCGAATGGATAATTACATGATCAAACCGAATGGATTTGATCGGATGATTTTTGCTTTTAAAACCGATCCAATCCGGACCACGAATACTCTTACCTACGAGTCAAGAAAAGCAAAAGCAAGAACTAACTAAATTATTAACTGAATAAAATCCCTCGAATAGTACTTACGAAATTACAATAAAATGCTAACACTTAATTAATGGACAATTATAATTAATTTATGTATCCTAGACAACAGTTGCTTTCCACTTGGAAAGGAAATTTTTCGTACAGTTGTTAATGTTAAAAACTTCCCTAATTCCATATAAAAATTAGCTGGTTCAAATACTTGAAACACTTAAAATTCTTTTCAGATTTGGGTGACATTCCATTTTAGATGGAAATATTATTTTCTTAACTTACTTTTAAGTTAATATATTCGTGATAGTGTGTTAGGTGAGATTGTAACATCCCCCAATTCGAAGAATATCTCCTTGAATTCCTTCCTTTAGTTTTTTATTTTTTATTTTTCACAAAACCTGTTTCAATTCAATTTTTTGTTTTTTTGTTGCAAATAATAACCTGTACGATTAAGAGCTTATGATAGGTCTTATATCAAGCATAATTTTAAAATGATTTATAAAGTTCAAGCTGAATATTTCTTTCAAAAGAACCTAAACACCTTAAGTAAAGGCTTGTACGATTATGAGCTTATGATTGGTCTTATACCGAAAGTTAGTTATAAAAAGGCATATTGTGGTTTGGATGCAAAATCCCACAGGTGCTATTACTTACGAAATATTACTGAAAATGAAGTATTTGAAGTATTTGCTATGAAGCACCGACACTTCAAAAATCCTTACGTGTTGTGTCCGACACTCTCTGATACTTCAACACGTATTATAGAAATTCAAAAAAAGGTTCAAAGGTTTCGTTGTGTTGAGTTTTTAGTTCCAACTACTAGATTCGTTCGATTACGATTACCATTTTATTGAGTTTAATATAAATATTTAGGATATCTTATGTTTCTTTGCAAAATTGATAAATGTTATAAGTTTAGTTTCATTTTTTTGTTAAATTATTGAATATTAAATATAATATACACTACATAAATTAAAAATATTATTTAATATCAAAATGTGTCCTAACGTGTCGAAATTTAATATTTTTTAGAATTAACGTGTCGGAGTGTAGTGTCGTATCGTGTCAGGTGTCAGTATCGGTGCTACATAGAGTATTTGTACTAAAAAATCCTTGTCATAACTTTTTAAACCATAATTAAATAAACATTAAAATATTTGAATACGAAAAAATTAACTTCATTTTACTCCATTTTTTTTTACTGTTAATGATATGCTTATAAATAAATTTATCTCTAGATTAATTTTATTATCTTCACATATTTTTTGTGAATTTTGTTGGGTACTTGCAAAATGCCTGGACATAATTTGCCTCACCCCCTAACTAATCCAGGAGAGAATAAGTTAAACCAACTATAAATGAAAGGCTTCTCCATAAATAGCTCTTTAAACGAGTTTCAAATTTACCATGCATTTCCTTTCTTATGATCGGTGGAAATCTCGTGGCTAATTGAATTTTTTTTTTTTTTAAATATTTCAATCGGTTTATCGTTTCGCGACTAGTCTGATTCGGAAAAAATTCTGGTAATTAAAGTTTTAAACTTCTCCTAGAAATAATACTGAGAGCCGGAGGAGTTTAAAACCTTACAATGTGAGGATTCCAATTCAGTTACAATTGTTTAAGTGTTTGTGTAGCGCACGGGTGTTGGGCTTAATTTGATAGTCCTACGCTGAACCCAAGCTTTTGGGCCTACAAGTTTACTCCCAACCTTTATCATCGGGCTTAATTTATAATAAGCACTAACTAAGCTATAAACCGAACTAATGCATATGGGTAAATTGGATATTTATTATCCTGAAGTTTCAGAAACTAAGACTAGCTGGAAAGGAACACAATTTAATTTTTCTTATACGTTTGCACGTACAAATTACTAAATATTTACAAAACTTACAAGAAGATTACACCAGAATTCTTTATTTCCTAGCCAAATAAAATTAAATGTCCAGAGTGATCTTAATATATCAATCTCATGCAAGATGAGTTATATTGTGTAAAACATTATATACAGCTATTTTTTGTCAGATGGAGCCAGCCTCTTAGATGATAAATAGTAAGGCTGAAGAAAATTGATGTTGCAACAATAAAAAATGTATCAATACAATACCAAAAATCCAAAATTATACTGGGGCTTGAACCCCACAAGCCTACTAAGAAAAAAAAAAAAAACCCAAAATTATGTAAGTTCAGGATGCTACATGGGAATTGGATCATGTATCTAACTAGAAGACAAAAATATATGAAATAATGGGACATACCTTTGAAGGCACCACATAACACATGGAACAACTAACAAACCAATTTCAGACAAGCACTGAAAGCCAAATCATCCACAGGGGCTGCAAAGAGTGATGCCGTGACTGACACTCAAGCTCTGATGATGCAAAGAGAAGAGCAAAATAAGTGCATTTTAACCCAACTTCTTATCAGAACCCTTAAGATTGAGGTTAAACCATTTCTTTTTGCCTGATTTATCCTTTGCATCAGACCCACCATCTTCTCCAGAGCTCTCTACTTTGGAATCTTCGCCAGCAATTTTGCTAGTACTTCCATTGCTTAAGTTACTACCACTCACACTAATATTGGTTGACTTGACAATGGTGAAAGAAGAATGGATAGTGTCCCTTTGTTTCAGAAGTTCGTCTACCTGAGTACCAAATCAGACTTTAAAAGGTCAGAGAGATGATAAAGCATAAGTCGCAACTCTCAACATATAAAAATGGCAAGTGTAGTGTAACTAATAGCTAATGACCACAAATATTTTAATGGTTATACCAAAAAGAGAGTGAGGAAGGGCGAGGGGGGAAAATTAAACAATTAAGTTTTCTATGGGATAGTTGTTTGAGCTACAAGTATAACAAGAAAGGTGATAGAATTTTGCAATTTGCATTGGAAAGCAAGCATAACCTCCTCAAAATATTACAATTTTTCAGGTCTTCCATTTGTGGGTTTCTACAAGCCTTCCAGTTGTTTTTACACAGCATGTTTTAAGACTATACATGTGAGAACTACAGATTAGGGTGTCCTATTTTGGCCAGACCTAGCAAGCAGGTTGACAAAATTTGCAATTGATTTGGCTTGCCACAACTCAATGAAACAGATATACCTTGTTATCGACAATTAATAATATCATTAAGCAAATATGTGCATATCCAGACATGCACTTATGTCGAAACTGTAGCTCAGTATAAAAAAACGTACAGACTGCTTTTCTTGGGTGTATTTGTCAGTAACTTCTTGATAACGCGCTAATGCCTGAAAAGTGTAGTATTAAGAGACATAATACTGTTAGTGCCTCAAAACAAACTTTAAAGTTAAACCATCAAACACTAAAGCCAATAATAACCTGTCTATATTCTGCTTCAAATTGGCGTAGCTCAATCCTCTTTCTTAAAATTTGAGCCTCAATATCCTTAAGTTTTTGAGAGGTATCTTCATATGATTTTGCACAAACTGCCTCGATTGTATAGGAAGCGGTCTTAAAGAAGTTATCTCCTAAATAATATCAACTAGAACCAGTGAGTATCAGAGTATGTAACTCAGTTTACATGAAAAACTATCCTAAGCAAGCAAAAGGACAATAAAACAAAATTTTCAGACCATAAACAGCAAATATGTGAGTGCCAGGCTTTAGTTCCGAGACTTCACAAGGTTGAAGACCTTCCAACTTTTTAAAGAAAGAAGCTTCAGGATCCTTGGCCATTGCTAACTGCACCAAAGCACTAAAAGTAACCACCCTAAGATGCCAAATAAAGGAATATACGGAAAGAAGAAACCTAATAAACATAATTTGCACACCGCATTCACAGTCGAATCCATTCTGTAAACTTGAAAATGTAAGAAATACATCCCAGCACATGTCACCTTGCCAGCCTTCTCACTATCTTCCTGTACAGAGACATTTTATACAATGTTAAATAAATGCATACCCAATTGTGATTGCAGAAACACTATACTATTAAAACTGTGACATACAAAATATAAATATGTTGCACTTATCAAAATTTGAGCAATGAAAAAATCAATCACAAATAGCTTAAGAACAAGCTATATGGTTTATGTTAACAGAATCAATACGAATTACTGCATGCAAGTTTACAGAGCAAGCAACCTCTATCTCTTAATGTTTATGTTAGAATATATTGAGTTATTTGAGTATTTATGGTACGATATCTCGTATATATTGTAGAATCAGTTATGAACCAATTTTGGATTACGTATATTTGGGATTGAATCATTGTAATTAATACTAACACTAACATATACAGATATGTGTAATGTGTGGACTGTTACAAGCATGCAAATTCATCCTTTGGGATTTATTCTCTGAACTTCAAGTGTTTAAGTTTAGTATTTCTCTGATTTGAGCCTAGTATCCAATTATTTTACAACGTCCAGCCGCAAGAAATTTTTGCAGACATTTTGGTAGTTTTGGGGAATAAATAATAATGGATTTGTCCTTATAGTTTGGGCTTTGGAGAAATTTCTCAGAAACTAATTTAGAGGTTTTGGGAGGATTGAAGTCCATGTTCTTTGGAGATGTGCGATTGCAATGTATGCAATGATTTGGGGCCCATGGTTGGAGAGAAATGCCAACATTTTCAAGGATAATTATTTCTGTAACTTTTTCTATGGTATAAACAATAAAGTGATCTTGGTAGCTGTTTTGTGGTGCTCAGTCAGCAGGTATTTCAAAGCATAAGCAGAGTGAGACATCTAACTGGGTGCCTGTGTGTGCACAATGAATGACATCTTCCCATTTGCAGTATTAACATAAAATGCAGGAACTAGGAAGCAAAAGTAATAAGAGAAAACAGTTTCAATAATGTTACTTACAGTAAGGGGCTACTCATCATACACTGAAGGCCAAGTTATTTAAGTATAACTGACAAGTAGGATCTAAGGCCCAAAGGACTTTTATGTTGGGCCTCAGTAGTTATGGTTTAATTACTATTTAATCTATGGACCAACATAAACAGTGTAGTATTATACATTATTCTAGTCACTAAGTTAAATAAGGACTTATAAGTTAAAGATACCGAGAAAACCTATACTTCTGTCATCAACAAGATAACTTCTTAGGTTTGAATCTGACCGCAAGAAAGAGAGTGCAGGGAGAGGGGGAGAGAGAGAGATAAAGAAGCTAAGTTATACATTCATGGATAATGCTTTGACACTCCAACATTCTGGGGACACAATAACAATTGAAGGAAACATCAATAACATCAATCCATAGTCATTTCACTTTCCTAACAATTAGTTTGGAAAATCAGCAAGTCCTTGACAATTGCCATACTTGCAGACTTCAACTCTTCCTCCGGATTGAAGATTTTATGAAAAACTCATAAAGGCCCAAACAGAAGTTTCTTCACATCTTCGATCACAGTCAAATTCAGCAAATTAAATATTTCTCATACATGTGTTGCAAGTGTTACAGATTCATTGATTCAAGAAAATTATGAGAACCAACGCAGATGCCTATTAATGTCCACTGCATTATGTATAAAAGAGTTTTAAAGTGCTGCCTATTACAAGGAGAAAGGTATTAGACAGCTAGTGCCTGGCATATATATTTACCTAGTTGATTGCAAAAAAGAAAAAAATAAGGAATGAATGAGAGAGAGAAATGAAAGTCTTCTTGAATAATCCCCACCCTGGAACAAGTACTTTAGTATAATTTGTAGGAAGGAAATTTTGACACAAAGTGATATAGAGCGAGCCTTGCAGCAACAGTAAGGTTGCTCTTTGTGACCGAAAGGTTACAGATTCAAGTCTAGGAAACAGTCTATTTGCAAAAAGTACAAGGGTAAGACTGCATATAATCAACCCTCATCCCTATCCTTGTAAGTCGGAGAACCTTGTTTACCAGGGTTTGCCCTTTAACAATAGAAGTGATATTTTCTTATCTGGCCCAAAAGTTTTACAAAAACAACCACAGCTTGGTAGAAATACAATGTTAGAAAGACGGAACGGAGAATGAAAGTAGAAGCACTAGAAAAAATATATACACTACCTGCACTGCCAAACCATAACCACCATTTGCATCTTGTTCAAAGTACAGCAACTGAAATTAGCATTCAACATTACAATTCAATACCATATTTGTAACAGACCAACAGACAAAGACAGAGGAATTTATAATAAAAAGGCATGTCATACCTTGAATTTGCTTTGCACAGTTGAAGTAACTCTTATTACAATCCCTGACTCAGCTTGCTGCTCATTTATTGTGACACCAAAAAAATGAGCACATTGCTTTTCTACCTGCAAAAATTGTGACATTAGTTGAAAAATACAACATCAGGAAGACTACTGAATTGCTTCATCAAGATAAAGACCATAAGAACCTTTCCACTAACAGATGACCCAATTGGAAGGGGTCTGACTGTCACTGTTCCATTCAGAGCTTCTTCAAGAACGTTAGCTGAAATGGTGGTCTTGATAGGGACACCCAGCTTGCTATAAACAAATAGAATAAGAAACAATCGAAGCTAAATAAACTTGAAACTCAAGTAGTTCTGTAATAATTCACACCTGAATAAAGCTGCAAACATTGTATTGACAGTTCCAAGATTAGATAAATCAATTTCCATGTCCAGGCCATCAGCATCAAGTGCCTGATATTTATTGCCATAAAATTGCTTAACTAAAAGAATGTAATAGAACCGTGTAAGAACAAATGAGGAACTGGTTAATTGCAAAAATAAGAATCTACCAAAAGAAACCAAGACAGGAAACAGAACATACATGCAATCTGTAATGAAACAAATGGGGCAGATTTCACACTACAAAGATGTAATTTCCAAATTTGATTTCGTAAATGAAACAAGTGTAGATATATAAACCACTTTTATTCCACCTTGCACAGAGAAAATATGTGATGCAAGCAGCAGCAAAATCCAGGAGTTGTTTGATTAAAGAAACACAGGTCTCACTAATTTGGTTTAATTTTTATATTTGGGTTAATTGTAAATTGTAGTATTTCAGGGGTATTTTAGTAGTTTGCTAATAGGATCTTAAAGTTGACTATTTAGATGTGTCTATTATACAATGGCTTTTTCTTAATCTACTATAACAGTAAAGCAGAAAATTAAGTAACGATTATGGATTCTTCCCCTCAATGGACTGGCCAATTGAGAAGGAAATTACAACTCACACCTATCCCTTACAGCAACTAAGGCATTACTCTTCCCAGTGCTCTTACCCAACACCCATACAATATTCTTCACACCCCTCTCCACTACCCGTAACTAACTTATATTACTCACTCCTCTCTTCCCCTCTCTCCAATATTTTCCTCTCCATTCATTGCTTGCCATGTGTCACTATCGGCAACTAACTGTGGTTTGTCCTTACCCCTTTCTTTATGGGCCTTCCGAGTGTACACTTGGTCATATGGTTTGAGAGGCCCATCAGGCCTTAAGTTGTGGACAAATAGGGGACCAAGTTGAACTAGTTCTATATAAATCATAGAACCAATTCAACTCAAAAGTTTAAACTGTTAGGTGAGGCTACATTAATGATTTTATATATCTCAACACGCCCCCTCACACCAGAGCCCACTGGGCTTGAAGGGTGGACGATGCACAGGCCCACCTACCTGTGCGAAGAAAGAAATTCCACTAGAAAGAAAGTGGGGGGCGGTGAGAATCGAACCCGATACACCGAGGCTCTGGTACCATGTAAAGAATCAATTCAACTCAAAAGCTTGAGTTGTTGGGTGAGGCTACATCAATGGTTTTATATATCTCAACACGCCCCCTCACACGAGAGCCCACTAGGCTTGACGGGTGGACAATGCACAGGCCCACCTACTTGTGCAAAGAAAGAAATTCCACTAGAAAGAAAGTGGGGGGCGGTGAGGATCGAACTCGTGACCTTGTGGTCACTGAAGCTCTAATGCCATGTAAAGAACCAATTCAACCCAAAAGCTTAAGCTATTAGATGAGGCTACCTTAACGATTTTATATATCTCAACATAACCAATGCAAAGACATATCATGAACGAAGAGATTATGATACGATACGTCCACCTTATAGAAAGAAATTTAATTCAAGCTGAGTCAGCAACCAGGCAATTAGTAGGGAATATTCTCAATAATGACATGAGCAATTCAGTTAGAGGAGAGAGAGAAAGGATTGCTGACATGGAAGTTAGTTGGGAACGCTATGTATACGTGAGGGAAGGTAAAGGAAAGGGCATCAAGAAATTGGGACACACTTGGGCTGGGATTGGGAGAGACCTCTGGAGCCTCTCAAATTGCTCCAGAAACATACATATATTTACTTTCTTGCATTTTTACCTTTTCCGTATTCTTTTCTGTTTTACACCATAACTTGTATTGTTGTTGCTAAATTACCAACGATAGTCAATACACAGCTTCATTTTTCCATTCAATTCTTATTTCAGCTTTTTGGTTCTTTTCATATTATATTTAGGAAAATGCTAGCGCAATCTAACATTTTTTTTATATAAATTTCATAGACAAAGAATAGAGTATAAGGTATTTAGAAGATAAGGGATCCACTATAACAAAAGAGGGAAAAATAAAACAACAAAGAAAAAGATAAAATATTGTAAAATGTCAATTCAGCCGAAAAGCTTAAGCTATTAAGCGAAGGCCATATTAATAGCTTTATATACTATATCACTAACACACACTCTCACGCAAGATCCCTTGGACTTAAAGTGTGAATAATGCATAGGCCAATTTTTTTGTTATACCTTGTGCTGATTTTAACTTACTTTTTAAGTTTATTGGAAAACGGGAGCAGTATGGATCGAACTCATGACTACTTGGTCACAAAGGCTCTAATACTATGTAAAGCAACTAATCCAACCTAAAAACTTAAGCTGTTAGGTGAAGCACCATTATTATTTTATATATTATATTATTCCTTAACACATAACCTTAAGCTAAGAGGCTTATAAGAGTCCATTATTTAGTGTTTGAAACATGATTTTTTAAAAAAAAAATTCAGGCCCACCACACCAAGAGCCATTTTTTAGTTGAAACACGGAAATTAAACCTTTTTATTAGTAGAATGGGGCAGGAATCAGACTCTAGAGCACTTGAATCATACTGATATCATGTAAAGAACCAATTCAACCAAAAAACTTAAGTTGTCGAGTGAATGCCACATCAATGGCTTTATATGTTATATCTTAACAAATATAAATGGAGAAAAGCTGTCCAATTCCTTAGCATATCTGCTTAGGAAAACCCATTAAAAGTACCATGTGTTTCTACACCAAATTGAAGCCAATCACCTAATCTTATCCAAAAAATAATTTGTTGAGCCAAAGACCCGGCTTAAAAATGCGAGAAAATAAAAGATAAAAGAACAAAGTCAATGACCTAAAAGAGACTCCAATTTAGAAAATTCCCTATCATTTGAGTTACAAGAAAAGTGGAAATCCCAAGAAAAATGGAATCTTCAAACTGTAGAAATTGTACCTTCATCTAACATATTGTGATGCCTATATTTCTCTATAGTCAAAAACCATAAACTCTCATCCTAAAATTTTCCCAAATTCCTATCAAATCATGAAGTTAACTCTTTGCAGAAACTGTTCACTGCATCCTAGCAGCCACCAATTGATCATTCGAGCGTCATTTTTTTCCTGCAACAAACCCTGCCCCAGCATATCCTGATGAGCCCTCGACTTCACTAATTTTTAACCTTTAGTTCCCATGAAAACCCTATTGGATCTTTTAAATCCTATACTTTCTGTTTTGCCTCTGTCTCCTGAATGTATACAGGGGAAAACATAAGACATCCTTGAAAGTCAAATTATAGATCACTGAAAAGGTAAGAATTGAAGTTTGAGCAATGTGTGTCAAATGCAATCACATGACGGTGAGGCCTATTTATATAATGTGGGACTAATAACACAAAACCTATGTATATATTCTTCCAACAGTAAGATTCCAAAAGGACATGCTCTACACAGAAAATGCAATAAGTCATTACAATTACCATTCTTTTGGGCAGAGGGGTTGTCAGTGGGAGGTAGTGAGAGTCTGTGATTTAGGGAGTTGATACGAATGGGAAATTGTAATCTACCATTTCTATAAGTTCTTTTTTCTGTTTCCTATATATCTTATTCCTTTTCCAAGGGCCAAGACCAGGGACTCTAGTTTGATACCAAAGCAGTCACCAATGACGTTGACAAAATCATATATTTCGTTGGTGTCAAGTCCATATATATTAACTCCTAGTAGGAATGACTAAAACAGATACATTCTGGCACTACAGGAGTAACAACAAAGACCTTACATAAGTTATAGGATGGTTCGAAAATCTCCTGGATTTAGAAAAATTTAACAATTCAGGTTAATTAGTATATTTTAATTTTCATATTATAGGAAGGATAATAACAGAAAAACAAAAAGAGTTTAGCAAAAAGAGCTATGGATTATAAAGGATAGGACAGGAAGGAAAAAAAAAGGGGACCTCAAATCCTGCACTGTCATACTGCCGTCTCTTCTCTGGATCAGACAAAATACTATAAGAATATGCAACCTCTTTAAATAGTTCTGAAGCTTCAGGATTGTTGGCATTCTTGTCAGGGTGATACCTGCCAATTATATGAAGAAGTATCACAATATATACAGATACGTTAGAAGATCCCACATATGTTCAATATCATCATTGTCATTCTTATCCAATAAATAACTGTTAAGAACCAATTCAATCCAAAAGCTTAAGCTATTGGGTGAGGCTACATTAATGGTTTTATATATCTCAACACGCCCCCTCACACGCGAGTCCATTGGGCTTGAAGGGTGGACAATGCACAGGCCCACCTACTTGTGCGAAGAAAGAAATTCCACTAGAAAGAAAGTGGGGGGCGGTGAGGATCGAACCTGATACACCGAGGCTCTGATACCATGTTAAGAACCAATTCAACCCAAAAGCTTAAGCTGTTGGGTGAGACTACATTAATGGTTTTATATATCTCAACAATAACTAACCAGAACAAAATGGGAGCACAAATAAAAAGCTGATTAGAATATCTTTTTATTACTTTAACTGATTTGTTCTTGCTCTCTGCACCCTTCCCCTTCTTGAAAAAGGAAAAGAAAAAGAGACACAACAACGCAGCCAATGCAAGTTACAAGTCTTTCACGTTGCCAAGCACTAACAAATCTATCATGCTAAATGATACGTCGAAAGACAATTAGCTGTTACCACATATACCAGAACCAGCAGCATAGGCGCATGGCTGTAAAGAATGATCTCAAGAATTTTGCAAGACCTCGCTATCAATTTCAATTCAAGGAATGCTATAATGATAGGATATCATTTATCTCCTTTTTCTTCTTTTTCACTAAAAAATGGTGAATATTTAGAACTAAAAATACTTATACTGTATACATCAACAATCCCAGAACATCAAAGAGAAATTCAAGTTTTTCCACTCATTCGGTCTATCAGTCAGTGCAACATGTAACCCACTAGGTTATTAAATAAGAATGCTCATCACCTTGTACGGTTCTTCAGTTCTTCTGTCATACTTAAAAATATTATGTGTGTTAAGGTCTTACACATAATAAACTCAGAGAGAAGCCTACTTCTCTATTTATAAAAACTATTTACAAAACAAAAACAAAACACCATCTGGAATCCAAACAAGATGTAGAAATAACTAATCCAATACAGAGTTAAAGTAAATAACCATAAAAAACAAAGATACATTTAGGCTTGTAAGTAGCTGACAGCAAAGACCCAGCAATGACAGAAAACAAAAGAACTTCCTTTAGAACAAACAAACCTTATGTAACAAGTGCCCACATACAAAATTAACCAGTAAAGTGCCAAAACACAAATGGGAATTTGAAATTAAAAAATTAAAAAAAAAAAAAAAAATTAAGGGGAAAACGAGGGTACATACTTTAGAGCAAGTTTTCTGTAGGCCGTTTTGATTTCCTGATCAGTGGAGTCTCTTGACACAGAAAGAACCTCATATGGATCACGCCGAATTGCTGGGGTAGAAGCTCCTTCCATCTTGGAACCCATACCCTTTCCTCTCTCTTACACACACCACCTCAACACTAAAATTTTAAAAAAAAAAAAAACAAATAAATAAAAATTGCACCTTTTTGCTTTCAAAAGCTATGGTACTATGTCATTAACCTACCCAACTGCTCCAATAACTCAAAGCGCCATTGGATCGCTAATGGGTTCCTTGAAATGGGTAAAAAAAGGCAAATCTATGAACTGGAGTTTGAGATCTAAGCTCTAAACATAGAAGTTAGAAATGAAATGAATGGAAAAAAGGTTTATTTTTTCTGATTTCGTTTTCCTCAGTTTGCGCTGGCAATGCTTTTGATCGTTTTGTTTTGTCTGAAGTCTAAACAATGACGCAAAACTTTTGTTTTTTATATCATGTTTACAAATTTTTTTATTTTTTAGAGTAAATACTTTTTTTTATCCCTAACAAAAAAACATGGTCCTCACTTTAATTCTTTATAAAAATAAATTAGTCATTAGTCTCTAACAAATTCAAAATGAACCCATTTTAGTCTTTTTGAGGAACTAATATAGGTCTTTTTTGAATTTGACCACAAATTCAACTAAATAGGTCCACTTTGAATTTGTTAGGGACTAACTGACTAATTTATTTTTGTAAGGGACTAAAGTAGGGACCGTGTTTTTTGTAAAGAAAGTTTAAATCAATGCTTTATGTACAAGGTTATGAACTCGCTCATAATCTAGTTGCTTCTATAACAAGCTACAGGCAATAGTTTGACCAATCATTCCCCCTAAATGTTACCAATCCTCCAAAACAAATATGAGAATAAACTCCAGTACATCCATACATCATCATTCTATTTATAATGGTGAATAAAAAAGTCAACATTACATGTACAGAAGGGAAAGCTCTCATCTCTAGAGATTAACTTATTTGAGAATGTCACATCTGCAATCAATCCTCTCTTTTTAAGCCAGAATATAGCATCAAAGCTGAAAGCAAATCGCAATAAAAAAAGTAGTATATGAAACATGAATTAAAGCAAAAATGAATAGAACAACACAATAAAAAATACCAGATAACAACAAAAATAATAGAAGCTAATACCACGTTGGCAGTAGAAGACGACAAAAGCATTCTTCGATTTTTCATTCTTTGAAAATATTGCATTATATCTTCATCATCAATATTATCAAACATATCACGTTCAACATAAGTTAGCATGCATGCGTTAAACCAATCATCACTTATCCGATTGCGCAACTTATCCTTAACAAAAGTCATTGCAGAAAAAACTCGTTCAACACTAGCAGTTGCTACCGGTAGAACGAGTGCCAACTTTATCAACAAATAAACCAATGGATAAACAATATCCTTTCTCTTCTCAACCAAATTGACAAAAATCAGAATCAGCTCTTACATCAACAAATAAATTACCAAGACTTGAAGAAAGAAAAGGAATATATGCAAGCTCATTAAACTCCAAAGGATAAAATCTAGCAAACTCAATCAACTTTTCTTTGTTAAAACTAGCAAATGAATCACGAGGGTCAAGACAACTCAAACACTCAAGCAACTTCGTATTGACATTATCAAATCGATCACCCAACTCTTGAACCTGAGTATCTATCATTGTATTAAATAACTCCACCTTAAAGTAGTGCAAGAATGTGAATGATTCCAATCTCCGTCTTGATCTTCCTTTAGGATAATAAACATCCTCCATATTTGGAATGTCAATATCATATTTATTTGCAAAAATGTTCGTTTCTTGAAGCAATTCATCAAAACCATTATCTCTCACCTCTTGTAAACGAGACTTGACAACCTTCACTAAACCAATTGCATTTAAAAGGTCTTGATCTTTTCTTTGTAATGCTTGTGACAACTCATAAGAAATCCCCAAGATAAGTTGCATAAGATGCAACAAGAATGCAAACTCATAATCCTCCATGGCATACAAAATGCAACCTGCATCAGTTCTTGCAGCATCATTCCTAGGCTCGTCTTCAATAATTTTCATCAAGGAAATTATTGGAGAAAATAATGAGATAACACTTGTAACTGTACCAAAATGGGAACCCCAACGAGTGTCTCCAGGTCGCTTTATGGTTGTCTCTTGATTTAAACCTTTTCCAGTTGGTATTTCACCGCGAGCAATTCTTTCAACTATATGCTCATATTGATTCATTTGAAGAATTTCCTTCCGCTTGCATGAACCCCCCACAACGGTAGCCATCTTTTGAAGCATGTCAAAAAATTCTTGAATCTTTTTGTGATGTTTTGCAACCTTCACAAGTGCCAATTGTAACTGATGAGCAAAACAATGAATGTATAATGCAGATTTGTTCTCTGCCAAAATCAAACTCTTAAGCCCTTTGAATTCACCCCTCATATTACTAGCACCATCATAGCCTTGACCACGACATTTAGACAAACTTAAACCAAGTTTAGAAAACAGCCCATCAATCGCTGCTTTTAGTGATTTTGCAGTAGTATCTGAAACATGAATTATGCCAATAAAACATTCAACAATGGACCCCTTTCTGTTTACATACCGAAGTACAACTGCCATTTGTTCTTTAATTGCAACATCACGAGCTTCATCAACTAGCAAGGAAAAGTAATCATTGCCGAGATCAGTAATTATTGCTTTAACAGTCAAATCAGCACAAGCTTGAGCAAGATCTTTCTGAATTTTTGGTGAAGTCATTTTGTTATTATCGGGGGCATTTTGCAAGACCACATGACTCATCTCCTTATTTGGCTTAGTATAAAACTTTAGAGTTTCAAGAAATAAACCTTGTTTATTTGAACTTTCAGATTCATCATGTCCCCGAAAAGGCTGACCATTTCGTAGTAAGTATCTAGCACAATCTAAAGAAGCTTTCAGGCGAATACGGTAATCAATTCTTTGTTGTTCAGAAATATTTGAAAAGGCAATATCAATATGTTGGTTTTGCTTCATCAAATCTTGACCAGCTTGATAAGATCTATTGTGAACACTCCTATGATCTCCAACATGAACTTTGATTCTATCCTTCTTCTGCCAATTTTTGAACCCCACACCGACAAATGCCTCCTTCGCTGAACCACTACCTCTAACCTCCATATCAAATAGATAACAATATAAGCAAAAACATGCATCTCGTGATACACTATACTCCAACCAAGAACCAAATTCTTCATACCACTTAGAATTGAATCTACGCATTTTTCCAAACATTTCCGTTTGAGGGAATGGTTTAAGAATTGGTTGAGTTGGACCCTTGAGCAAATAAGCTCTCCGAATATCCTCTCTCTCTATAGGATTTGATGTCATTGAATAAATTGAAGGTCTTTTTCCTGGATCCGTTTCAAGATTTTCTATATTAATTTTTGCTTCAGGTGGTGATTGAAAACTTTGAAATTGAGATGCTTGTGGTGGTACACTTTGTCTTTGAGATTGAGGAGAATTTTCAACAATTGAAACATTTTGTCTATGAGGTTCATAGGATTCAGGTTCTGTATTTGTGCTCTTTTGACGTTTGAAATAAGATTGTATCCCTGACATAATTTTTCCAAGACCTGTGAAGGGTACAGAAAAATAATAGAGAGAATAAGTTAGTACTTTTTTATCCCAAATAAATATTATATGGATTCAAAATTGCAATATGGATTCAAAATTCACTATATCTGCCTGATATGATCAACGGACTTCCAAATGACAGGTCTGGAATATGAAATGGGAACAACTGCAATAATCAAAATATAGTTTAAACTTCAAATATCAAAGAGATATAACATATAAACATTTGATAATGACAGATGACAGAAAAATATATATTTGATAAAAGTCCTTTTCCTTACCCAATACTTTATTATCTAATTATTTGAATATTAGGTTGCTTTTACAAACTTTGATACGTATAATAGAGAGAATCCCAAGATTTCAAACTTGGTGTTAAAAAGCCGTTTCTTATTAATTAAATAACCAAAAGGCTGGGGACTATGAGGCTTTCATTTATATTTTTGTTGAGGCAAATGTTTGTGGAAAACTTTTATGCTTAAAGGAAATGCTTTTCTCAAATTCACAACTAGTGGGGAACTTTATTCACATTCTGTTCTAAGAATAAATTGAGTAATTAGCTCATTATAATATGATTGAACCAAACTATTTAGATGTGAACAATGATGTATATTTAGATTGAACCAAGCTATATTTATAGATTTTATCTAACCGACTTTTCCTAATATATATTATAATATTTAAACTTCTACCACTTTCTTCAATTTTCCACAGCCTTCTTTTTCTTCTTGCTTTTCAAAATTGTCTTCTCTTCTTTTTTTGTTTCTTTGACTAATTTATATTATTTAACCAACTTCTACAACTTTCTACCAATCTGTTGCCAATTTCCGTGTTTTTCTGGTAGATGGTAGATAGCTCTTATAGCTTCTTCATTTTTCTAGACTAACAATAGGAAAAAATTGATTTCCAACAATTAGGACTCAAATGAAATGAAAGCTCACAGAGCCATAAAGTTATAAAATGGCAATGACAAAAGAACCAAGAACTACACAACAAAAGAACTAAGAACTACACAGCAACAAAAAAAACAACAAAAAAATTAATGAGGTGGAGCTTGCCTCAAAAGCCAAATCTGCTTGCCTCAAAAAAATTAGAGTTTTGATGTGCTTGCCCTCAAATCTGCGCTCAAGCTGCGCTGAATGGAAGGAAAGATGCTGAATGGAAGCCAAATCTGCGCTCAAATCCGCTTGCCCTCTTTTGCAGAAAGAAAAATGAGTGAGAGCGTAGGGTGAGAGAGGCTTGCCCTCTTTTGCAGAAAGAAAAATGAGTGACAGAGGTACGGTGAGAGGCTTAGCTGTGAGAGAAAGTATAAAAAAAAATAAAAAAATTTACAAATTTACAAATTTCCTGTGTCCGCACGTGCGGTCATTTGACCCAACGTGGGTCCGCGCCTGGTTGGATGTCCATAATCATATGATTGTTGGATATGACTATTATGATCGTTGGATATTCAACCCCAATTATAAACATTGATGAAGTAATTATGGTCATTGATTATATTGTAACTTATCATGTGATGTGAGCATATAAATAAAGACATGTACAAAGAATCAAGGTGTATTACAATATAACAAGAATATATTTCTCCTATCTCTCTCTTATTTCCATATACTTTCTTTCAGTTATCTTTCTTATCTTTATTTTCTTACAATACGTTATCAGTAGCACGATACTCTCCCCAAAAAGAGAATCGCAATCCAAAAGTGATCTTGTGGGTAGTTCATTCTATTAGACTCTATGTTCATTATATTCGGCCTGTTCATTCTATTTCTTTTTTATATTTTTCAACTTGATGTTGCATCTTTCATGATTCTGCTATACTTTATTTGATTTGTCAAAAAACAATCATTGTACATATGATTCTACTTAACTTTATTCGATTTTGTGGTTATTAGTGTTTTTGTGTAACCATATTTTTTTTAAACATTGTGATATTACTTGTACATATTATATCATTGCATCCCTGTTAGTTTTTTTTTACTGTTGGTTATTTTATTTTATTTTTAATGTTCGTGCGTATTGTTGCTGTAGGTTATTTTATTTTATTTTTTGTGTTCGCGAGTATTGTTATGGTTGCAATCTTTGATTTTTGAGCTTTTGGGAGTTAGGTAATGGAAGCCGAGTATGATTTTGTATCTCTCGCTGGTTTTTGCTCGTAAATTTGAAATTCTTAGTTCAATTTTATGTATGTGTTTACTTGTATGATTAGTCTTATGTATACTTATTATTTTATGTTGTTTAGAATATGTTTCAAACTATATGTCCTTTTTTTTTGGAAATACTATATGTCCTTTTATCTTTTCTTTTTTTGGCTAAAAAAATCTGATGATTATGATTGTGGTTAGAATTATGATTGGTATTGTTTAATGGCAATTACAACTATTCAAAACTATTGTTTAAATTACAAAATGTTATGAAGTTATTTGAAACATTTCAGCATTTATGAGCATAATATTATTACCTTCATGATTTAAAGTTGTTGTTTAGTTTCAGCATTAATGATATTGTTATATTCAAATTTATGTTTTAAGATTATCGTTATTAGAATCATTTCAAATATTATTGTACTGAATATTGTATTATTTATACACTTTATAAGCCTTACGTATAAAGTAAAATTTATTTTAACCCTTATTTTCTTTTATATTAGTCAACATTATGTCAAATCTTACAAAACTTGAATTTGATGCTATTGATATAACCAGCAAAAAAAATTTGGTATGGGTCCTTAATGTTGAAATCCACCTCGATGCTAAAGGTCTTAGGGATACAATTATGAAAGAAAAGGAAGCATCTAATCAAGATAAGGCGAAGGCCATAATTTTCCTTCGCCATCATCTCCACGAAGGGTTAAAGACTGAATAGTTTACTCTGAAAGATCCACTTGAATTGTGGAATAATTTAAAAGAAAGGTATGACAATCAAAAGATGGTCATCCTGCCTAAAGCTCGCTATGATTGGATGCATTTGAGGTTGCAAGATTCCAAAACTGTAAGCGAGTACAACTTTGTAGTTTTTAAAATTAGTTCTTAGTCGCACCCGAACTCTGGATTATTCCCATAGGCGGCTCAAAGAGTCGAACCCGTGGGGATACCGGGGGGTTCTGATTCGCCTCAAAGAAATAATTAGGATTAGTTTTCAAAAAAAAAAAAAGTTCTTAGTTAAAGTTACGTGGAGAAAATATTACTTATGAGGACTTATTGGAAAAAAATATTTTCCACTTTTCATGCTTCAAATACGTTGTTACAACAACAGTACCGTGAAAATAACTTTAAGAAATATTCTGAATTGATATCATGTCTCCTTGTGGTTAAGCAAAATAATGAGCTACTAATAAAAAATTATGAAGCTCATCCCACTGGATTTTCTTCATTCCCTGAAGTGAATGCAACAACTCATAATAAGCTTGAAAGGAGACAAAATTTTAGACCCGTCACGGACGTGGACGTGAGCGAGGCAAGGGGCCAAATATTTAGCGGACTATTATGGAAATAAACAAGAGAACAATAAGGGCCCTCAAAATAACGCTTCAAGGAGTAAATATAATATCTGCCATCGATGTGGTATGAAATGCCATTAGGCACGAATCTTTTGTGCTCCATAACATTTTGTCAAACTTTATCAAGCCTCAATCAAGAAGAAAGAAAATACTGTGGAGACAAATTTGACCTTCAAAAATGATACTGAAGCAAATTTTGCTTATAAAGAGGATGATTTTGCTAGCCTTACAGATATTACACTTTTGGATGTTGCAAACTTCTTTTAAGATAATAATGATGTTATTTAATTAGCTTATTTCTTTTTAATGTAATTCTTCCTTTAGTTTTATTTCTTTTCCTTTACATGTCTTTTGATGCATTTTATTCTAATGAAGAACATGGATATTTATTTAATTAGTGTGTTTCTTTTAAATGTATTTTTTTCTATTCTTTTAATTTTATTTCTTTTCATCTACATGACTTTCAATGCATTTTATTTTATTTTAATGAAGAATATGGATATTTCTAAACATTCAAATGGACCCAAGGTCAATGAAGATGATATATGCCTCGCAGATTGTGCTACCACTCACACGATATTAAGAGATAAAAAATATTTCTCTGATTTGATAATGGAAGAAGGCCATGTTAACACAATAACTGGTAATACAAAATTTGTTGAAGGCTCCGGAAGAACAAGTCTTTTATTACCTGGAGGGACCAAAATCAATATAAATGATGCATTACTTTATAATAAGTCCCCAAGAAACTTATTAAGTTTCAAAGATATTCGCCAAAATGGCTATCATATAGAAATTACAAATGATGACAATTGTGAATATCTTTATATTACTACAAAAGTAGCAGGTAAGAAATGCACATTAAAAAAATTACCTATCTTTTCTTCCTGTTTGTACTACACAAATATTCACATGGTTGAAACACATGTCATGTTAAATCAAAAGACAAATTATGATAGTTTCATTATTTGGCATGATTGATTGGGCCATCCCGAATCAAATATGACGCGAAAAATAATTGATAATTCATATTGTCATCCATTGAAGAACCATAAGATTCTTTAATTCAATGAATTTTCTTGCGTTGCTTGTTCTTAAGGAAACTTATTACTAGACCATCACCAGCTAAAGTTGGGATTTAATGCCCTTCATTTTTGGAACACATTCAGGGTGATATACGGGGACCCATTCACCATCATATGTACCATTTAGATATTACATGGTTTTAGTAGATGCATCTACAAGATGGTCACATGTATGTTTATTATCAACTGGCAATTTAACATTTGCGAGATTGCTTGCTCAGATAATAAGATTAAGAGCACAATTTCCAGACTACACAATAAAGATAATTCGTCTCGATAATGCTGGTAAATTTACATCTCAGTCTTTTAATGATTATAGTATGTCAACTGGAATCACAATTGAACAACCTATTGCTCATGTTCATACCCAAAATGGTTTAGTTGAATCATTTATTAAACATCTCCAATTAATAGTTAGACCATTGCTTATGAGAGCAAAACTCCTTATTTCAACATGGGGATATGTTATTTTACATGCAACATCATTTGTACACATTAGACCAATAAGTTATCAAAAGTTCTCCTCATTATAATTGGCTTATGGTCAAAAGCCAAATATCTCCCATCTTTGAATTTTTGGATGTATTGTTTATGTTTCAATTGCTCCAAATCATTATATGAATTACATGTGGCAAAACTTTCCACAGAATGACTTTGAATTATGATATAGTATAGATATATAGGAATTAATTTATCTCAAATAATTTTTTTATAAATAACAAGTCATAGAATTTACCATTGAATTAAACGTATTTATAAAATATTACATTATTTCAACATTATTTAATATTTCATGATAAATTAAAACAATATATAGTTTTTAAAATATATAAAATAAGAAATAATTGATTTTATTCTATTAATATTAAAATTTTATGATATTTGATAATTATAATTTAACAATTTAATCAATAAAAATAAGATTTTATCTAAAATTTTTGATTTACAAATGTACACGAGTGTTAAATCTCATATAAAAATTGATTTACACACATATATAAAAGCTGTTATAAATTATAAATTCTGGTAATAATTTCCTCAATTCCAATAATTGAAAGGGTCAAAAATCAAAATACTAAAGCCTAAATTAAGTCCATTAACCCATCTTTAGATAACCAGACTATAATTTCTCTTTCAAAGAGTTTCTTCTTCTTCTTCCTTGTGTCCTTCATCTCTGCAACTACATCACAGGTCAATCATTACGGGCTTCCATGGCAAGTGGTTCTTTTTTTTCTTTCTCCGTCTATTTTCTCTCGTCTTTCATTTGTCCAATTTTTCTAGATTTGGATCGCGCTCCAAATCATTAAAGTATCAAGATTTGATGGGGGTTAATTATTGGGAGCGAATTTGATGACTAAAATATAGACAAGTTGTATTTGAATGAATAACAGTTTGGTTGTTAAAAGTAATTAAGATTCAAGCTGCTATGGTAATAATTTATAATTTATGTTTAAGTTGATTTGTGATTTAAACAAGATAAATAACCATACTAATCACTTCACATCAGATCCAAATAATACAATATATTTCAAATATGTCGTATCCCAGCATGCTGATTGACAAAAGTAAAGTTGAATTTCTAAATTGAAGAGCTTCGATGAGGAACTAGATTTGATTACAATCATATAAACATGGCCTATTTATATGCTTCCGATTGGGAATTATTTATTTATTTGTGAAAGCTTTGATTGGAGTTTTAATGTGCAGAGGATGCATATAAATTGCGTTGTGCATTAGAAATTAGTAGAAGAATCTGTACTTTTTATTTGTGCCCATGTCCTGTTATGCCCCTAGACCAAACAACCCTTTTGTTTTTCTGTTTGGGTAGAAACCTAAACAAGTTACCATCCTTTTGTCCTGAATTAGGAAGTTGTATGTGTTTGTTTTTAATACTAAGTTTATTTGTTATTTGCAAAAAGTTTTATACTCACAGTTTCATCCTTTTCTCAATTTTGGACGATGCCTTGATGGTTTCTATTTTGTGTTCTTGTTCTTATTATAGCATCAACAAGAGAACTAGGTAGTTTAAATGAATTGCAACCCACTCAGTTAAATCAATGTGAATGTTTTATGCATTTTTTTTAATCTGTCTTTGGAAGTTAATCGTTTTCAAATTTCAATACTAAATAGTAATGTCATTAATTGTAAATGTTCATATGCAGATTCATGTAAATGGATGTCTGTTCGATGCTGTCCTAACTAGCTTTTGGAAGTGAAACCATATGGTGATCGTGAAGGCCATTGAGAGTTGCTGTGCTTATAAATTGGACTCATTAATGGTCTCCACAAAGTGAAAAGTTCCTCCAGCCATAAGCTACCAGGTTTGCTTTATGAGTTTCTTCTATTTCCATGGCTTGGGACATTTATTGAGAATTACAACTTTAGAAATATATATGAAAGCAGAGAAAGTTTTCTTTTAGAAATTTGGTCAACAAATTACAAGTGGTTCTACCTTATTTTATGCAAACCTCTCTCTATATATATAATATATATATATATAGATTCTAACAATTGATTTCTGTCAATCAACGGTGACAATTTGTCACAAATTATTAATTTATTATATAATTAGATTTGATAAACTTTAACAGTTGATTTATAAAAATCAACGGTTATGATCTAAAATTATACAAAATTATATCTTTTAAATAGATAAATATTTTTTCATATATATATATATATATGAATTTTATAAATATCATATTACACAAAAAAAGAGACACTGTCATATCATAAAAAAAATCATTTTTTATGTCTCAATTTTTTTTAAATGCAAGCCCCACCAAATCATCTTTTTGCACGAATTTACTTCTCTTGTCAGCGAAGGATATTCTGACAATCAAGTTGTGTTACTATCAAGTGACTACCAATCAATTTCATCGTTAGATCGATTATGTTGATCTAACGGTTATATTTATTTCCATCTTTGTATAGTCATGATTCCCCAAATTTAATAATTTATATTTATTTTCATCTTTGTATGATTATGATTTCCCATATTTAATGCTTTCACTTTAAATATGGGGAATCATGACCATATAAAGATGGAAATAAATATAACCGTTGGATCAACAGAATCGATCTAACAGTGAGATTGATTAGTAGTCACTTGTTAATAACACAACTTGGTTGTCATAATATCCTTCCCCATTTATAAAACCCTTATTACTTACTTATAGGCTCTGTTATGACAGTGTTTATGCGATGATGTTATGTTCACTGTTTTAGTAACAACAATTTCTTTTTTACTTAAATTCATAAAACAAAGGGGCAGATCAAATCAATTTACAAATGATATGTGTTACACACATTCTTAATTGTTAATTGGGTTCGCTTTTTCTGCGATTACTGCAGATAATTTATCTGCAGTAAGCCCAATACAACATCGTTTTGAAACGAAAATTATGGTGTTTTTATAATTTTAATTTATTTCAGGGTTATAATAGTCTTTCTATTTCTAATTTTTTAAGATTTCAATACCAAAACAACGTCGTTTTTATGAAGCACCGACACTTCCAAAACCTTGACGTGTCGTGTCCGACACTTCCCGACACTCCAACACGCGTTATAGAAATTCAAAAAAGGTTTAAAGGTTGCGCTGCATTGAGTTTTTGGTTTCAACTATTAGATTCGTTGGATTACGATTACTATTTTATTGACTTTAATATAAATATTTGAGATATATTATATTTCTTTGCAAAATTGATAAATATTATAAGTTTAGTTTCATTTTTAAAAAAAATTATTGAATATTAAATATAATATACACTACATAAAATAAAAATATTATTTAATATCAAAACGTGTTGAAATTTAACATTTTTTAGAATTAACGTGTCGGAGTGTCGCGTCGTATCGTGTCACGTGTAGGTATCGGTGCTACATAAGTTTTGGGAATAAATGTAGATAACTTATCTGCAGTAACTGCGGAAACATTTTTTCCTAGTTAATTTTACTTATATTCAATAATTTAATTTATTAATTATGTGATGTGTTAAATAAATGAATTTAATATTTAAGTTGAGTATAAATTTTTTTATTCTTATATCAATATAATATTATTATGTGCCTAACAATATAAAACACTCAAAATTTAATAAAATAAAATCTTCTACAATGATGTTATTAAAAACACTCATGACCGCTTTACCAAAAAAAAAAAAAAAACACTCATAGACCGTGAGGACCAACATCATTGTTCAATAATTGTATGCAAGAAAGAGATGGATTAATGGCTTTGAATTGACGCCCCTTTTGTTTTAAGGAAAAAAAAGTATTTTTAATTCTAAAATATGATTAAATTTTTTTTATGATATTTAAACAAATTAAAATTTTAAAAATTGTTTTAGTGGTTTTATTAAAAATAAAAGAATTTATAAACTATATTATATCATGAAAATATTTTTTTTCTTTCAAAATTTATCTATACATGAACACCCTAACACCCTAATTAACCTTATGAGAACCTCAAACCTTTCATTTTCAGGGTGGAAAAAAGCTAAAAAATTATCTATACATGCACACCCTTTGGTCCCTTTTTTCTTTAATTTCCTCTTTCCTTATCCTTTTCGTCTCATTCTTGTCGGTGGAATTCTAAAATTTTAATTCTCTTATCAAAAGAAACACCTTTAAAATTATTTTGAAAAATAATAAAAAATAAATAATTTTACTATTTATTAAAGACGGCTCATTAATTGTTTAAGTATTTTTTGTGGAATAAAAGTTTAAATTGGAAAAAGCTTGTCATCATGTAAGGTCAAATAAGATCATTAATTCCAATAAGAATTCCTAATGAGATTTCATTGAAATTTTAATTTTACAAGAATGAAAGGTTAACCGAACGGGCCAACATCCAATGATATTTATTTAAATAGTTAATCCTACAAAATTAACCCACTCAAGTGCTTAATGAATCATTTTTCACAAACTTTTTTATAGTATTTAATACCAAAAATGTTTGTGTGAGCATACTCATAATTCGGTCTTAGAGTCATTTAAAATTTATAAAAGTCTTCTACCAGTTCTACGTATATGGTAAATTCATTCATTAAACATTATACACATGTATATATTCCCTCTTTTTATTTGCTAATTTTTTTCTCCATATTTTTTATTCACTTTCTTTTCTCATTTTCTTATCAGAATTAAATACCTATCTCCTTTTCTTATCCATAATTATGTTCTTTTAAACAAATTATGTTTTTTATTTTATGATTAAATCTACTTTAAGAGTTACATACAAAGGGTATGATAAATAATAAGCAAAATACCTTTTGGGTCCTCGACAATATGCCTAATTTAATCCCTTAGAAACAAAAATCGACTTATGTCACTTCAAAATTTAAAATAAACCCAGTTAGTCGAAATCATAGTCTCTCCGAAATTCAAAGAAGACCCACGTTAAAAAGATTAACATGAATCTATTTTAAATTTCAGAGAGAACACAAGTCGATTTTTTTAAGGAATTAAATTGAACCCCGTAATAATATTTATTGAGGATCCAAAAATTACTTTACTTGTAAATAAATTTCAACACAACAATTGATGGTGATGTTGCTATAACTAAAATAATGATTTATCTCCTTAAATAAATTTGTGGAAAAAATCTCATGGGAATAAATAGAATATATATTTTTTCAAATAAGTAAAATGAAATGCCAACCGAAAAAGGAGTTGAGATGTTTTTTTTATTTAATTGTGTACGTTAATATAACAATAAATTGGTGAAGTAATAGTATGAACTAATGCTCAATAGTGAAGTTACCGTATAAGATCTCGGATGGACGCCAAGGATAAGGGGAGGCAAAGGGCACAATTGTTCTTTATGGACCCAGAATGTATGGGATAGTAACCGATGCGTAACATTTTAATTATTGAGAATTTGTTATTAAATAGAGAATCAATGATAAGGGAGTTTGAATCCGTGTTTAACTTGCATGTTGGCTTATTTGCTATTTTCTAAATTAAAAACAAATTCAGTATTTAGTTCGTTTTTTTGTTTTTGTCCAAGTGGGCTCCCAGATTGAGGATTTAGTTTGTTTCTGTAAGTTTCACTGTTGCCATAAGATAATTATTGGCATTTGGTGAGATGTACTACATACGCTTTGAAGAAAGCTATGTTTAACCTTTAATGAAAACAGCAATAAAATTAGTTTAAGTGGCTTTGAATATTCCAGTGTTCATTGATTTGAGTTTCTTGAAGATTCTGAGTTAAGTATTGTGAATTAAGGATATAAAGTAATGAAAAAGATTGTGTGTTTAGGAAATTTATTAGATAGGGTAGGATATTCTTATACCAGTGTAAGAGTTAGAAGTCTTACACTCAATCTTAACCATTTATCTACTTGTATCCAATGACTCACATTACTAAAAAATTTGAGCCCTTAGATATAAGTAAAATCAACGGACAGAATTGAGAGTGTAACTTACACTGATGTAAAGTAAAATGCTCCGGACGATATTGGACATTTGGACTTTGGATTAATCTAGACTTAAAGTCACTTAAAAATATCAAAGATTTTTTTAATCCAATAAAATGATTGCTCTTAACATTCTTCAATATGAAATAGAAACTTTTTATTTAGTTAACTTTAACAACAAATTACCTTTTCGAGTAAAAATATAAAAGAAAACAATTTGGCGAGATGTCCTTTCCAATTCCATCTATTAATAGTTACATCGTTACATCATTTTCAATTCGTTGGCTTTGATCGTTAGAATGTAAAAACCGCTGAAAAGTATTCAATATGCTTCCATCTACGTGGCTTCCTCTGGGCTCCCACAAACTGGTCGTTGATAATACAAGTAACAAAACATGTTACGGTCAAGAAAAATCACAGTGCTGGCGGCTACGCAAATTGGTCTTCATTGTACTCCTATCATAGCTTCAATAATGTCCGTGTTATCTTGACTACAAAATATGCATTTTCTTTTTAAGTTTGAACATAATATTTTGGTGCTTCCGATTAGGTACGTGTAATATAATATAAGGAATAATTCGTTGACAAACTATTCTTATAAATTACATTAAGTATGATCATCGATTATATATTCTCTTGATTATGATCGGTCAGACATAATATAATTTATAAACAAAAAAATTTTGTAAATATAACAATATCTTGTAATATAATATATAATGCTTTCTTTTCTAATAATAGTTAAATCACCTTCAGCAGGTTTCCAAAAACAAGCAAATAACTGTTTTGCGTTGGAAAAACGTGCTTTTGAAGTAAGCTGTCATCAAATTTTGAAGGTGGGAACTGAAGAGAGAGAAAGAGAAAGAGAAAGCTTTCTATCATGTGTAGTCTTCAAAGCCACCACTTCCATGCGATGGCTCTCGCAGCCCCTTCAGCTTAAATTTGAAGCAGCCACAAGGCCTTATTCTCCTTATATATCTCTATAACTTTCAGAGTTTTCTATATTTCCTTCTCTCTCACCCTTTCGGTGTTCACCATATTCTGGATCGGTTTTAATTTACTCTTGGTGATCCTTCATTTCATTGACTTTTCTTTCATTTGATTTTTATATCATGATTTATGAGTCTTTAGATATTTTATTACAACTTAGAAAATAAGTATATATGTTGCTGATAGTCTTTATAACTTAAATTTGAAGCATTACTCCCTTTCTAAAAGCCTTAGCCTATAAGTATTCTTCTTTACGAGTATCCACTTGTTAATTTTTTTTTTATTTTTTAATTCTTATTCTGCTAACCCAGATCACAGAACTAGGGAATTATCTTTTTTCTTTGGCCTTAAAAAATGAAGAGTTCAAATAACCAACATCTATTAAATTCTGTTTCCAAGCATGATCATCTCCATCTTGTTCGTTTACTTTCCTATCTTCTCCTATTGGGGTGTGGTGTAACCATTGGAATCATCATCAGTTTCTATCTTAAAAGCGGCACCTTTAGTCTACAATTCACTCAATTCTCACACTATACATCACAGAAACCACCGCCACCACTGCCGCCACCAATTGCAGGACCAGAAATGTCCAACCTCAGTCATGTAGGATTGAAAGAGTTAATTGAGCCTTCTTATGTTGTGCATGATATGAATGATGAAGAACTGCTTTGGAGAGCTTCAATGACTCCTAAGATCAATGAATACCCTTTTGAACGAGTTCCCAAGGTGGCATTCATGTTCTTGGTAAGGGGTCCTGTGCCTTTGGCTCCTTTCTGGCAGAAGTTCTTTGAAGGGCATGAAGGGTACTACTCTATTTACGTGCATTCCAATCCATCTTACAATGGATCAGACCCAGAGACTCCAGTTTTTCATGGCAGGAGAATTCCCAGTAAGGTCAGTTGCTTTATTCTTCAATTACTTTTTTTAAATCTGAATGAATATTATTCTCTTGGATAATTGAAATGAAGATATATGCAAATGTCCTTGTTTCAATGTAGTCATGTAGATATAGAAGTTAATACAAAGAACAAATAAAGTGAAACCAATCAAGAGGGAAAGGGGGAGAGTTAAACTTATCAAAGCAGAGAGAGACATATCAACATCAACATATGTAGAGAGAAACATATAATTGCTTCATATTTTTTGCTAAAGAGTACAAAAAATTTGCTGTCAAATAATCGACAGGTGTATTACCTAAGGATTAGGTTTGTTAAAGTAGAAAGAAAGTTCAACTAGAGTAATATTTTATTTTGAAGTAAATCATCAAATTATTTTGTAAAATTCATGTACTCTAGGTTCAAATAGGTAAATTAAGAAATCCTCTGCTTTTATAAACTTCCATCAGTTCAACTGGAAGTTATCACAACATTCACTTGTTATAAGCATGTCCTGACCCATATGATACCTTAATTATCTTCAACTGAACAAAGGTTTCTATGTCGTTGCCCAAAAAATAAAATAAAATAGTTGATTATTACTAAGTATAAACTACCCAGTTGAATTGCCGTTTACCAGCCCCATATAGCATTTAAATAGGTAGGTCACGAGGCTCCAAATTTAGGCACCTTATTAGATGGTGGTAGCTAGCTGTCACAGTTTTGTTGAAAACATTTCCAAATTTACTATCACCCGATTTGATATTTGCACACGAGTTATTAATGCAAATTGTACTCCATTTCATTTCCTGTACACATATTGATCAAATTTCTTCTGTATAGGATCCATCGTCATGTGAGTACCCCTAGTGTAGGGACCAATCTCTAGAGTTAAAAGGGTGTAATGTAACAGATACATATATTCAATAAACTAAAATCATTTGATTCATTGCCATTTTGCATCATGCTTCCGGTGAACACATAGATAAGCAAATGCAGTGGAAAAATCTGAGGAACTTAAATCTAATTCTGTTGAATGGTAAATTAATTTTCTTGTTTTATTGACTAGTTGAGTGCGAGCCTTGAAGTAATGATAATGTTGCTTCTTTGTAACCAGAATGTCATGGATTCGAGTTTAGAAAATAATTCTTTTGCAAAAATACTAAGATAAAATTATATACAATCAACCATCGTACCTATCGTTGCAAAGTTGGAGCATTGTGCATACGCGGTTTGCACCGCCCTTTATGTTTTATTGAGTAGTTGTTCCAAGTTTTAAATTTACAAAAATGAGGTTATAGATTTCTGATTCCATCAATTAAAGTACCCTATTAACTGATAATAGCTAGCTGTCACAGTTTTGGTGAAAACATTTCTAAATTCGGTATCACTCTGAGATATTTGTTCACTAGTTATTAATGCAAATTGTCCACCATTTCAATTCCTGTACACGTATTGATCAAATTCCTGTATAGTATATAGATCCATCGTCGTGTGTGTACCTTTAGTGTAGGGACCGATCTCTGGAGTTAAAAAGGGTGTCATGTAACAGAAAAAATATGTACGAAACTAGAATTAATTTCCTTAATAAAATTATCCGCATAAATAGGGGACTAGCTTTGATTCATTGCCATTTTGCATCATGCTTCCAGTGAAACATGAACAAAGATAAGAAAATGCAGGGGGAAAATATGAGGAACTTAAAACTTAAATCTATTTCTGTTCATTAGTACATTAATGTTCTTATGTTTTATTGAGTAGTTGTTTCAAAATCTAAATTTACAAAATGGGGTTATAAGTTTCTAATTCCATCAATTTCTTTAACTTCAGAAAGAAAGAGTGATTAAAATTTAATACCGTTCATCTTATATTACATAATGCAGAAAGTGCAATGGGGCAACGTCAACATGATTGAAGCTGAGCGTCGCCTGCTGGCCAATGCACTTCTTGATTTCTCAAACCAAAGATTTGTTCTAATATCAGAATCCTGCATTCCTCTCTTCAACTTCTCAACCATCTACTCTTATTTAATAAACTCTACCCAAAATTATGTCATGGCTTACGATGACCCTAGTGCAGTTGGACGTGGACGGTATAGGATCCATATGTTACCTGAGATCACCCTCAAACAATGGAGAAAAGGGTATCAATGGTTTGAAATGGACAGAGAGCTTGCACTTGAAGTAGTATCAGACAGAACATACTTCCCAGTTTTTCAAAAGTACTGCACTGGTTCATGTTATTCAGATGAACACTACTTGCCAACATTTGTTAGCATCAAGTTTTGGGAGAAGAATTCAAATAGGAGTTTGACTTGGGTTGACTGGTCAAAGGGTGGGCCACACCCAGCTAAATTTGTGAGACCAGAGGTGACTGTTGAGTTCTTGGAGAATTTGAGGAATCAGACATGCCAGTATAATGGAAACAGCACAAATGTTTGTTTTCTGTTTGCAAGGAAATTCTTGGCTAGTTCGTTGGTAAGGCTCATGAGGTTTGCTCCGAAGGTCATGCACTTATAATAGAGTAATATTACTCTGAGTGCAAAAGCAAAGTTACCACTAAAACAATGATTTAATTCATTCTTTTCATCCTTTAAGTGTATTCATTTTCTGGTATAGACTCATTCTCCAATCATACAGTCCATTAGCTTCATGGATCTCAGTTAATGAGCTTTTGTATAGGGCTTCATGTCTCTGTAATAGTAAGTTAAGATTCAGAGACCATTAAATGTATTAAAGGACAGCTTCGTTTGTATCTAGTTAATAAGCAAATTGCATTTTAATGCCTCCTCCATACTCTAAACATTGTCAAAATTAGCATCTCAAATCTAAATGAAAATATGCTTTTCTTTAGAAACCCATTTCAAATTAAGAAGCTAATCGTAATAAAGACATGCATTTCTAATTCACATTAAGTAATAAATTTGAGAAAGAAAAACACATTAACTCTAAATGAACATGTCATATTACATTGCTTTAATTAGCAGGATTAAATCAGAGATGAGATAAAATAAAAGTGACTAAAAAAAAAAACAAATGAAAAACGAAGACAAAACCGGTAATAATTTGATTTACAAACACTACCCTAGTTGGTAGGGTAGGGTCAATAGTTAAAATCCATGTTTACCTATTAGTTCCACCTCCACGTGCATCTTCAGACACGGAAGGTGACTCAGACACCGAGTCCAACGTGTCATGACTCGGTGACACCTCAAACCCACGCAACTCCTCGATCATCTTGACCACGTGGCACATCTTGGGACGTTGATCAGGTGCAGCAGCAGCACACGTCATAGCTATCTGCAGCAGCGCGACCATCTCCTCCTCAATATCCTTGTACCTCAGCAGCTCAAGATCAAACACCTCAGCGGTCCACTCCTCCCTCACCACGGACTGGACCCACCTAGGGAGGTCCACCACCGCGCCGCCGTCCACGGCGGAGGGACACTTCCCCGTCAGCATCTCCATCAGTAGAACGCCAAAGGAGTACACGTCAGACTTCTGGGACTGTTTTCGACCGTCGGATGCCTCGGGAGCACGGTAGCCGTTGGATCTCCCGTTTGATGATGGGCCCGCGAAGATGAAGAGCCCAAAATCTGCCACGCGTGCATTTCCCGCCACGTCAATGAGGACATTGGTGGATTTGATATTACCGTGGGTGAGGTTATTGTTATGAATGAAGGCCACACCACGTGCCGCTCCAGCTGCTATCTTGAGCCTCGTGGTCCAGTCCATTGGGGTTCGCCCGGGTCCTCGGTTGCCTGTAATGTAGACACCAATCAACCCATCAAGATCATTTTATTTACGCATTTGACACTATTATAAGTTGGATCTTTTTTCTTATGTTGTTGTAATCAATTATAATTATATATTTATAGGAATATATTATTATAATCTTAAAGCTATTTTTTTTCTCTAGGTTGTTTTTAATATGGAGAAAAAGAAAAAAAATATAATTTTTTAATTATAATTATGTATTTTTGAGAATACATAATTATAATCAATTGTTATATATATATTTTTTCATCAATATAATAAGTACATTTCCTTCGTAAGTTATTGACTACTTTTTTGCATTACAAATCAACAAGGGTTGGCTAAAGATAAAAAGCAAAAAGCCAAAGGTGGTTGTGGAAAAGAACAAAAAGCAAAAGAGGAAATATATAAAAAGACACTACTTGTATTCTCTGACACCATTGTTTTTTTTAAAAGAAGAAAAGGATCTAACACAGTTGCACAGACAGACTGTAAATAGTACACTAGTCACTATTCCCATATGGTCATGATATTGTGCAGCTTTTGCCCATTTAAGATTGGAGAAGGATCTCTTCATTCGTTGCTATTAATATAGCATATATAATCACAGAACACTAATTATTTTGTCACCTTGATCAAAAAAAATTAACAGAGTAGTAAATTTTCGTTACACTAAATAGTAAAATATGCTTACAAATAATTTGCTACACAGTGTACCAAATTATATCACGTCAGAATATATAGTCAGCAAGAATGACATGTGTCAAGCAGGTAGTAATTCGCTACCCTGTGTAACATATTATGTTTACGAATAATTTTTTGACACGTGGCATACTTTCTTATGAAAAAGCTGACGTGTCATAATTCACTACCACTGATAACAAATTTGGTCTGCAATATGACCACGTGTCACGAAATTATTGGTCACGAAATTCGCTACTAGTGGTAGTGAATTATGACACGTAACAATCTGATAAAAAATATTGTTCGCTTAACGTTTGAATAAAAAATTTAACAAAATGTGATATTTTAATGAGTGTTCCTATGATCACATGGTCTAACTTTAAAATATGAACAAGTCCCAACATGGACCCCTAGTGAAAGGTACCATGTTCACCACACCATCATACCAGAATAATGAGGTTACTGACTCTGTTGGGTATTTACTATTTGGAAAGAAAATAAAATTTGAAGTAGATAAACAACTCAATTGAGTCATGCACTTTTTTACACTGTCTCAGTATTAAGCTGTGGAGCAACTAAAAACAAAAATCTAGGGCAATAGAAACTAGAAAAAAAAATTAAAAAGAAGAAGAAGAAGAAGAAAAGTTGAGTTACCGTGAATGAGCCAGAACAAGCTACCATTGGGCATGTAATCAGAGACAAGCAACTTCTCATCTCTTGCAAAATAGTAAGCCCTCAAGCTAACAATGTTGGGGTGTGTTAACCTTCCCAGAACTTCCATTTGTTGTTCGAACTCTTTCTTCCCTCCAATCTGAGCATCCCTCAGTCTCTTCACTGCAACAACACTGCCATCGTCAAGAACAGCTTTGTAAGCAGTGCCAAACCCACCCTTCCCAAGCATTTCCGCAGAGGCACGAAGCAAGTCCTCTAGCTCAAACCTCTTCATCCCTTCGAAGAACACCATTTGACCCTTCTCGAATCCGGTTTGACCCGGGTAAGGACTCGCCGAATAAACCATCTTTTCACCCTCCACAGGCTTCGAATTCGACTCCACTTTTCGCCAGAAGTAGCAGTAGAGAAGCAGGGACACTACTGCCAGCACCAAAACATCGCCGAGGACAATGGCGATTAAAACCATCGGGCCCATTCTCGGAGCTCCGTTTTCTCGGGTCGGGTTTCCGGGTACCGGCATTGAACTCGGGGATGATTGAACATTTGTTGTTGGGGTGTTGTTGCGAGGCAACAACGGCGAAGCAAGGGCTGGAACGTCTTTACATTTCTGCAATGGGGCTCCGCAAAGAGACGGGTTTTGCCCGAAAGCGGATCCGGGAAAACCCGAAAGTGATTCGGGTATGTGACCCGAGAGGCGGTTATCGGAGACGTTGAAGTCTTGAAGATTGGAGAGGTTTATATTGGGAATGTGACCGTGGATTTGGTTCCCATCGATGCGGAGGGTGAGAAGGTGGGTCAAACGGTTGACCGTCACCGGAATATCGCCGGAGAGGTTGTTGTAGGACAGATCGAGACGGTACAAGCGGGAGAGCGACGTAACGGTGGCGGGGAACTCACCGGAAAACTGGTTGTGAGAGAGGAAGAGAAGCTTGAGTGCAGTGAGGTTGGTTAGGCTGGGAATGGAACCGTTAAAACGGTTGCGTTTGAGGCTCAGTAATCGGAGCTGAGTGAGAGAGGTTAAGGGTTCGATGGAGCCTTGGAGGTCGAGGTCTTCGAGGACGAGACGTGAGACGCGGTTCCTGAGGCAGGAGACACCGTCCCAGGTGGTGCATGGGTCGGTGGTGGAGTTCCATGTGGTGAGTTTGTTGTGTGTGTCGGAAGCGGTTTTGAATGCCATTAGTGGTTGGGAATCTGGGTGGTTAGTGGAGGCTTGAAGGAGGAGGAAGAAGTGGTGGAAGGATAATGAGAAGATGGTGGCGTATATAATGAAAAGAGAAGGTGGTGGTGGTGCCATTGTTGCAGAGGAAAAAGGAAGAAGAAGAAGATCGAAGAGTGGGTGCAGAGGAGTGATGAGAGGGGTGCGGTTGGTTTTGTATTATTGTGTGTGGAGCTGAAAAATTTAAAATAAATGAAAAAAGAAAAGAGAGAAAAGAAGAAGAAGAAGGAGAAGAAGCTGTAAAGTCGTAATTTTAATGTTCGAAAGAATTTAAAAGTAATTAGTTAAGCTGCTGCTGCTGACATTCGAAAAATAAAAATAATATAAAAACGGTAAATAATTTTTTAAGGGTATAAATAGTTGGGATTTGAAAAAAAAAAAAAGAGACTCTTTAACATAAGAATAAATTTTGATGTGATTAAGAACTTTTACCATTTTTTGTGTGTGGAAAAAGTGTGCAAACAATGATGAAACCATATGCCTTAAGGAAGAAAATTAAGAGTATAATAAAAGATTATTTCATTCTCAAAAGTAATGACTATTTTTTTTTAATAAATCATACGTATTCTTTAAACCTTTTTCAAAAATGATATTTGAGAAAATCGAACGCATATTTTCACTCTATCTGCTCAACTCACATATGCTAATTGAACTATTATCATTTAGTGCAATGACTATATTTTAGTACAGAAAAAGAGATATAAAATACTTATAAATGAGATAGAATTTTCGTGCAATTTTTTTTTAAGTTAGTGGCGGGCCACACATTTTTCGGGTCCGTAGGAAATAAATTTCATAATTATATGACATAATAATTTATGTTATTATTATCTAATATTAAATAATAACGTTCTCTCTTAATTGGTTAATCTATATAATTTGTAAATTAATAATTAACACATTATTTATTGAAGTCTCTTACTTCGTTTTGTTTCTTTTTCAATCATTGATTTTAAATTAATACAACGATAATCAAACAATTAGTAAGAATGGTAAGGCTAAAATGATGATAAGTTCCCCCCGTTATTATTTTAGTATTACTTTTATTTTATTTTATTTTTACTTTGAGCAACATTAAGTTGAAAAAGTGAGAGGTAGATATACGAGCTAGTCTTGTTCAATAATATAGTTCATTTATAAGTTCTCAGCATAAATGGACGGACTGCGTCCGCATGGCAATAGCCCGAAGGCTGGCCCGTCAACCGGTAAGTTTTTTTCTTTTTTCTTTTTTGTAACTTAAAAATGCAGATTGCCTAAAAAAGAAAAAAAGAAAAAAAATTCTAACTCTAAATCACATTTTTTCTGTCAAATTTTAACCCAAGCAGTGTTATAAAAGCAATCTTTGTGAATTTAATTAACTTGTACAACAATAGTGATTTAGATGCAGCAATTTGACTACCTTCCTTTGTATAACAAGCATCTGAAAATTGATCCTATACCAGTGGAGAAACAAATAAAATGATTTTAATGCAATGAAAAGTGATGAGTGCACTACAATAAACACACCCCAAAACTAACAGAAGCTGCAAGCTGCAGCTTTATTATGTTGAAGTTGATTGAATCTTTATGCCATCAAGAACTATGACGTCTCACTTGTTTGAGAATCAAGGGATGAAGACGCGGAAATTGAAGAAACAAAAGGTTTGGGTGGTATTTGCAATGAGCTAATGCTTCCTTCCATCATTTCCACCACTTTACTCATTGCGGGTCTATTGGAAGGGTCAGTCTGTATGCACCACAAACTCACTATTGTCATTTTTCTCACCATTTCTTTATCACTTTGGCTTTTTATACTTCGCAATTGAAGCTCTTCATTCAATTCAAGATGGCTGTAAACCCAATGTGGAAAGTACTTTTCACTTGAAAAATCAGCTTTGTCATTGATATTCTCTCTTGCACCAAGCATTTCCAAGACCATCATTCCATAACTATACACATCTGATTTATGTGACACCCCACCAAAATTTCTGCAGAACACCTCAGGAGCAATATACCCTGCAGTTCCCCTTGCAACCATCATTGATACAGTACTTTTTTCTCTTGGACATATTTTAGCTAGCCCAAAATCTGATATCTTTGGGCAAAAGAACTCATCTAAGAGTATGTTGTGAGGTTTTATGTCAAAATGCAAGATTTTAGTGTTGCACCCCTTGTGCAAATACTCCAATCCTCGAGCAACACCAATTGCAATATTGTACATAGTTTTGCAATTCAATGTTAGATTGAGCTTTAAAGGATCTTTCTCTTCATATATGAACTTTTCAAGAGATCCATGAGGCATATACTCATATATGAGAACTCTTTTGGTGCCTTCCAAACAAAATCCCAGTAAACTGACAATGTTAATATGAGAAGTCATGCTAATACTAGCAACTTCATTAATGAATTCTTCTCCGTCACCTTGTAATTTACTTAAAACCTTCACTGCCACAAGACTTCCATTGTGTAACCTCCCTTTGTATACAGTACCGAATCCTCCTTGGCCAAGTTTGTTTTTGAATGAATTGGTCATTTTCTTTACATCCAAATAACTGTACCTTTTGGCTGAAAGGTGTCCATGTTGCTTCAGAAAAGTCTCAATCATTTGCAAGGTGGGATTTTCCTTATAACAATAATATCTTCGAAAGATGCAAGCCATGACCATCAAAATTCCTAGTGCTCCAGCAACTGAAGCAGCTGTAATATTTCATTGAAAACAATGAGAAATTACAATGAGAAAAAAAGTATACACCCCATGATAATTTATTCTTATATTGGCTTTTTTGGACGGGATTATTTATTGCATTTGGTAAAGGAGCCACCAAACTTACTTCTAGGAATATCAAATGAATAAAAAAAATTACTCCCCGTTAAACCCGACTAGCGAGTGTGGGTGGAGATAATTCTTGTACGCAGCCTTACTTTTGCATAATCGCAAAGAGACTGTTTCCTAGATTCGAACCCAGGAATATCAAATGAATACTTTAATATAATTAACCTATCAACTAGAGAAGAAATTTAACCTACTATGATAAAGTGTAACTAATTGTTGTGAACAGAAAATTTATATGTGGGCTCAAAATTAAATCATTAGCAAAGCTAATCAGGTCTAGAAGAGGTTTTACCTGCTACCAATATCTTCACTTTTTTACTAGTTTTATCTGCAAAACATAAGGAGGGAAAAAACAGGATATAACATCAATTAAATGATAAACCATAACTAGAAATAGCCATGGTTATTTGGATCTTCTTCAGACCCAATTTCTTAATTCCTGAGCAGAATTACAAAAAAGCAAATATTAGTTTAGAAAATAGTAACAAACCAAATTACTCTGATGCAGATAAACAGTTTGGAATTTTTATGACGGCTATTCAAACTTTTGCATCTATAGAGGGGTACCTTGTGCACAAAAGAAGTTGCCTTGGTTATCAAGTTGACACTGGCCTCTTCTGAGATAGTAACAAGAAGAACAAGCAGGAGATATCTGTATTTGGATAGGAAACTCAGCTGATACAAAATCAAAGGGGTTTCCTTTGGGATCAGGGATGAGACCTGCATCTCTGATTGGAAGCCGAACCATTGAACATGCTGTAAAATACCGATAATAGTTTTCGGAACTGACAAACTCATCCTCCATAGTATCTGTATCATAGAAGATATCATCACCACGGCATAGTGTAGATTTTGAAAAGGATGGAGGAAGGGTAACATTGAGGGTACTGTTGCATGTGAACAAAGTAACATTCAAGAATTGAAAAGAAAAGAAAGGAGAAGAAGAGTCAAAAGTAGAGTTTTCACTGAAGACCCCACATCTTCTGGACAACAAGAGAGTTTGGAGATCGTTATCTCTGATGACAATGGTAAACTGGTCAATTTTTTCAACATAAAACCATGTTGCTTTGTTCTTAATGGTTTTAACAGCGTCCGGGGAAGGGTCATCACAACCATGTATCACCAATAAGCCACATTCAGGGTGCTTCAAATCAGTGAAAGGGAAATGGATTTTGCCAAGGTTCCCACAATCAAGCGAAGATGGACACTTTCCATTTGCTGGGAAGACAAGAAGCAAAAGGGTAGAGAAAAAGAGGATGCAAAACACATTTGCTGGAACCATCATGACTCATCACCTTCCTCCTATGTGATTTTCCTTTTTTACTTTGCAGTTTGTTCTTTTAGGCAAAATGTAACAGCAGAAACAGTTAAGAGTGGCCATTTTGTGCATTATGTCTCATCATAAGCAGGAAAAAAAAATGGAAATAGAGCATTCTTGGAATAGAAAGGATAAAAAAAAAGATGCTGATGAGAAATGCACTGGGAAACAGGAGAGAGGGAAGTTGTATACTCAATCATCTTTGACGGATTCAATCCTTGTTCACTTAGAACAAGTCTTGCGATGACTAACTACCACGTGGTTTGGAACAAGACTTAACATGAAGGAAGATCTTTCTCAGTCCTCATAAATGGTTTGGAAGTTTGATTTTAAAATGACTATTGCCATTGAAAATTTATCTCCTCTCAAATGCTAGAGTTATAAGCATTTTGGCTTCGACTTCTACAATTTTTTGTTAAAAGCCTCATACTAGTCAATATCTGGAGTTGACTCTTAAATTCTTAATAATTTATAATTTTGGAGACTTACAATAATTGAGTGACGTTATTGAATTATATTTTTACCTTTCTAATGTAAGTGAACAGTATTGCATATGAATATGTCATTTAATTATGTTGGGTTACTTAAAATCTCAAGTTTGACTACCTAAATCATCCCAAACACAATTCTACTCAATTCTTAAGCATCTCCGTCAACTTATGCCTTAAACACATATTTTATCGATCAAGCCTTCTTTAGTTTCATTAATATTATCAAAAGAAATGAGATCAGCGTTTTGTTTTATCTTGACAAGTTTTTAGAGTTTGATCATACTTCCCAGACATCAAATTAATTAGTATTTGTTTATTAATATACTTTCTTATAAGCTTGGAACATTATGAAATAATATGATTATTTTTATTTTTATTTTGGTAGATAACAATGCTTGATTAATTCTCCCTTGAACCTCTTCACCCTTTCCAGAAGTTGTAATTTCCAGAATCAAACTCACTATTCTATTAAGTCTGGAAAATATTGGTATATAACTGGTAATATTAGTTTGTCACTTAGTCCAGCTATCTTATTTTTATTCGCAGAAAAGGTCAAATTGTTAGAGCAAAGAAGAATGTCAAATTAACTTAATAGACACACTTCAATTACTACACGTTGATGTCTGAATCTTGACTGCTAGCTGCCTAACCAGCCTTAGGTGAGAGGCGACAGCCTTAACTACTTTCTTTTTAATGATTTTTTAGTCCGTTTTTTAAGGTTCCATTTTCTAGTCAGAAATTACTTCAAGGCTGGGAAAATAAAATATTATTGAAGTAGTTATGAATTGTATTTTGCAAATAGTGAAGGAACTTTCCAAAATTGATTCTTCCTTTTGCTTTTTCTCTCTTTTTTTTGTTGTTGCTGCTAATATCTCTTTCTTTTTTTCTTAGGAACCCTACCCCTCCTCATCTTACAATGTCTTACTTTCAGATGTTGCGGATCAAAGTTGTTGTCTTGTCAATACTAAAGTGCCCTGCTAATCCTTGTGAATGTCCCTCGAGGATGATCGCCTCCCGCAACGAACAATGAGGAATACAAAGTTTTTTGCCCTTAAAAAGGAACCCATCAACTATAAAAAATTGCAGATAGGGCCCTGCCTTGCATTTCTCCCAAATATACCTAAAATCAGTATTGTCGACATACAACTTCTTAAAGGTATCGAAACCAACAACCTTCACCTGCATAGTGGATAATAATGAGTGCTTCCTGTTAAGTGCATCTACGACCTTGTTCAACGCTCCCGCCTTATGTTGAATAACAAAGTTGAAAGCTTGAAGGAATTCTACCCACTTAGCGTGCCTGATATTCAATTTATGTTGGCCATTGATATACTTCAAGGCTTCATGATCAAAAAAAAGATAAACTCCTTAGAAATAAAATAGTGTCTCCAATGCTCCAAGCTCCGAATTATAGCATAAAACTCCTTGTCATAAGTAGAATATTTCCTCCTGATTTTGTTCAACTTCTCACTGAAGAATGCTACTGGTTTATTGTTTTGACTGAGTACACCTTGTATCCTAACTTCAGAAGCATCACAATGCCCTTCAAAAACATCAGAAAAATCAGGCAGCGCTAGAACGGGGACTTCAATTACCTTCTGCTTTAGTAATTGGAATATCACTTCTGCCTACTTAGTCCACTCAAACTTGATTCCTTTTAGACAATCTGTAATAGGTGCTATAATAGTGCTGAAATCCTGAATGAACCTCCTGTAGAAAAAGGCTAGACCATGAAAGCTTCGGATGTCATGTATGCTCTTAGGTGTCTCTCATCCAGTAATAGCATCAACCTTTGCTGTATCCATCCTAATACCATTAACAGAAATAATATACCCCAAAAAGGTAACATAGTTGGTGAGGAAATGACATTTCTTCATATTGGCATACAACTTCTGTTCCTTTAAGGCCTCAAACACTTTCCTCAGATGTAGTAAGTGTTGCTCAATAAAGGAGCTATATATCAAGATATCATCAAAATAAAATACAACAAAAGAACCAATGAAAGGCTAAAAAACTTGGTTCATCAACGGCATGAATGTGATTGACGCGTTAGATAAGCCAAATGGCATAACCATCCACTCATATAACCCATCCCTTGTCTTGAAGGCGATCTTCCACTCATCGCCAGGTCGCATTTTGATTTGATGATAACCGCTTCGCAAATCTATCTCTGAGAAGACTATTGCCTCATGAAGTTAATCAATTAAATTATCAAAGCAAGATATGAGAAAATGATACTTAATGGTGATCCTATTGACAACCCTACTATCTATGCACATCCTCCAAGATCTGTCTTTCTTAGGGACCAACAAGGCAGGTACTGCACAAGGACTCATGCTCCCCCTCACTACACCCTTCTTCAGCAGCTCCTGCACTTGTTTGTGTAACTCATTAGGGCTCATTCTATATGCTGCTTTGTTGGAAATAGTAGCTCCCAACACAAAATCAATGCAGTGCTGGATGTCTCTCATAGGTGGCAGCTGTAACACCCCGTGTATACCCAGTAATGTTATCATACTATCGTATTAAGCTGCGCTTAATTAAAATGCGGAATATCTTTTTCTTTTCCAATTATGACGTCATTATACTTAGCCAAGTTGATTACTTAATCAATTTCATAAAATATCGCCCTGAATGTAAATTGCAATAAGACATATACTGAAATACCTCAATATATAAATAAAGTGAGTATCTAAATCACAGATCTACATCACATAGTCCGGACAATATCCTGATACTTTATTACAACTCCAAATCAAACTAAGACATAACTAGTCTATGTGTCATGGACAATCCCCATGCTCACCAAATCAACAGCGTCTCAACAAGATAATCATAAACATAAATGAAGCTCGAAGCATAAAAGCAGCATGCATATCCAGCATCCAACAAGTCAGGATATAATATCATCAATATCTAACTCAGCTCCGGCCTCCTGCCGCCTGAGGTCTCAACATTACCCGAACCTGAAATAAGCATTCCCCAAACGTGGGGTGAGATCTCTAAACAAGAAATCTCAGTAAGACAAGGGGTCCTCAAGGATCTTCCACCCCAAGCTCACTTACATGTGCAATATAAGTTCTAAAAGCATTTATATCAATATCAGTTTCAAAACTATGCAGTGCAACAGATATTCATGCCATGTGTGTTTAAACTATTCTACTGGCCAGAAAAATGTAGGAATACGTCTATTACCCACACGTAGTACAAGGAACACCGCTTGCACCTCACCCACAGCCTCACCATCTTGTATGTACCACATACTCAGGCTTACCGTATAGGTGGAACACCACATGCATATCATAAAGGCACTAGCATATAACAGCTCAATAGCATTTCCAAAATATCAAAAGCATGTAACACAGCATGTATATAACCATACCCCCATGGGACATGGTGGAACCACAACATGGCTAAACCGAGGACACGAAAGCTTACCTTGCAAGCTCACTGTCCAATGCCAAGAGTCCTCACCGCTCAAGTCCAACACACAGCAGATCACAATCTGATTTAGGACCAGCAAGTGTATCAACATACATAACTCAAAAGCATTAACATAAAGACTATGTTCTCCTTTAACGATTTACGTCTTAAGGCTTCCAACAAAGCCACAAGCCCTTAATCCCATGATTCTTACTTAGTTCATTAATTACAGAAGTTCAACTTCATCACTCTAGGGTCCACAAACCCCCCCAATAGCCTACTGTCCTCACAGCACAGCTACTGTTCTTCGAAATCCCAGAATATCCGGATATTCCTCGGGGCATATCCGGATATACAATATCCGGATATCCAATATTCCGGATATCCAAAAACTTGAACCAAACACCCCCTAAAGAGGATTACCGGTAATCCTTCTTTGGTAAATGTAATTACCACGTTTGGTAGAAGGAATAAATTACGATTCCCGGATATCCAAGGATTACCAGTAATTTGATTTATAAAGAAAAGTCACTATTCAGATTACCAAAAATAATATGGTAATTCGGAATACCAATCAGAATACCAAGTAAAGGGAAAACACAACAATAAATTTTGAGACAAAAATACCCCAATACACATAAAAATCTAGACACAATCTATCAATTACAAAAGTAAAAATAGTTTGGGGTTATTTTTGTGAAATAACCTCATATTCCAAGTCATATTTCGTTCTAAACCAAATATGGAATCAGTAATTTTTACCCAATATTTCCGGTAATATTTTGGCGAACCAAACACATCTTTCGTAAGATTCCAAGTAAACTAAATTTCTACTGAATTCCCATTAATCATGATTCCCGGTCACCAAGAAATTTCTTTTGTAACAAACACACCCTAAGGTAAATTGATTGGTATAGGATGTTTCAAAGTCGGAAACGGGTACTGATGAAGCAGGAATCTGGGAAATTGTGCATGCATTGAAAGCACTGGGGAGAGAATCACCTATTAAGAGAACATAGTAGAGCCGGTACTCTTCGGGTGAAAAAGGAACAAAACAGATTTTATTTTATTTTATAATTTTTTTTGGTACAATTAGCTGATAGATTTTTCTTTTCTAGTCGGTGGAAAGTGCATCGGGCCAATTTCCAAACCATTTTAGTGGAAGGTCACACGAAATAAGATTATTGATGGCTGTTGAGCGTATTCTTAAGAGGATAGAGGGAAAAAAAAAAAAAAACTAGACCAAATTATTGAGAAGAATTATGGCAATTATCTGAATCAATCAAAATCAGCTAATAATCGAGAAAAGAGTAGAATTATTTTTTTATCCAATTATCAATCCCTTAATGGAACTAGCATATAAGCCCGAGGCTCTAAAAAAATTTTCCCAATGTTATTATGTATAAGTACACACAGTATACATTGCAAGTAATATATGATTTGATTGGGTCCCGAATTATCGTCCTGTTCTCAAAGATCAAAAACAACTTCTTTATTTGATGATAAACAACTTTCATTTAAGGAAATAAGATGTCTAAACATAATTATTAAATTCTGTAAAAGAATAGTTACCAACACTTCTATCTAACAAAAGTTATAATTAAAGTGTAACATATTTTTTTGGTTATAGAATAAGAGAAGAAATGAAGGTTGTGATAGCTGTTACATAATACTTAATATATATATATATATATATATATATATATATATATATATATATATAGGATTGAACATTTCTATAGCCACTTTAAATAAAGTTGTCTACAGCTACCTTTTTTTAACTAAGTCTAATAAGTAAGATATAAAATATTGTATTTTCTTTCTCCGCCACGTCAGCCGACAATGTCTAAGGAGAAAAAAAAAATAACTTTATTGTTATAACTATATCTTATTGGTCAGACTTAGTTAAAAAATGATATATGTAAATAATATTATCTAAAGTGATTGTAGAAATATATGGGATAGGATTCTTGGACACCAATCTCAAACTTTGAAATTTGACAACAAATTCTAACCGTTAATTTCTGTCAATCAACGATTATCATTTATTGTGAATTAATGATTAATTAATAAGTTTGATTCCCAATAAATGATAACCATTGATTGATATAAATGAATAGTTAGAATTTGATGTCAAATTTTAAAATTTGACACTAATGTCAAAAGATTGTCTATATATATATTCAATAATTTGCTACTCTGATTGATCAAAGCGATATATTATCAAAGTAATATACTTTGAAATCTATTTACTAAAAAATATAATTTGATCATACAGACCCCACAAACGTGACACATGTCATCTTCATATAACTAACGTGTCGTGTTTGTGAAACCTAGATGATAAAAAATATCAAATTATATCAATAATAAATCATTTTCAAACTTATTTTAATAAATTCTTTTAAAAAGGTATCACTTTAGTCAATCAACCGATCTTGTAAACATAAACACTTTTATCATGTTGCAAGAAATAATTTTATCTCTTATACACACATAAAAAAAATACGAGTTCCATATGAAAAAATGAAAGAAAAAAAAAATATTGAATTTTATCTCCTACAATGTGAAAAACATAAATCTCATGAACATATCAACACTAGGCATAGAGAGCTTGGAAAACAAAAAGGTTCAAAAGAACCAGTGCAACAAACTCTGCAACCTTCCACTTTTTGCAAAGGGAAGCACAGAACAAGCCCCCTATTCAAGGAAAGAAAGGAGTTGAGAAGAGAAAAGAAGAGGGAGGGAACAAACAACATGTGGAAAAGGAAACATTCTAAAGATTAATTGATTTTTCAAAAAATAAAGATTTGATGATTTTAAACCCCCAGGGATTGAAAAGGTGATGGAAGTTTATTTTCATGAATATTTGATGAAGGTATATGCTCTCCGTAATGCTGCTACTTAATCAAGGTAATACTGACTTTTGTGGCACATTAAGCAACACAAACAATTGATAGTAAACAACTATACAAAAGAATCTCCCCGGCACGGCACGGATCTTAACCTTCCAGGCTCTTTGCCAGCCTTTGTTTTGTTACTCAAAACACAATGCCCAGTTTAAGCGTGTTATTGGATATCACATATACATCTAGTGCTACTTGATAGTGAATTGAAACAATTACTTGGCAACTAAAAACACATTTAAAGAAAAGAAAAAGAATGTGGGCATAAAGAATAGGAGTAAAACAATTGACAACCTATGACACTTTAACTCCACTAGGACGTTTTCCTTCCATAGCATCCTTCTTATTGCGACAATCAGCACATAGAAAAGGACCTTGCCAGGGCTTCGAGCTGGTGGAGAAAATGGAACCTGCATGGACCGAGATGCCCTCACTTAAAGCAAGGTCAACCTGGCATACAGCACACATGAATATGCCAGATGTTGATTGCCCCGAGTTGACATCATTTCCTAATCTGCAAGACATGCCAAGTTTTGAACATTTATCAACAAGGATCGTTTTTAAAAATGTATTACCAAAATATACGAAGGAATATGAATATAAAATTAGCTTTGAGTAAAATACTAATGGAACCTAATTTTATTAATTTGTAATTGAAGAAAACATAAATGGAAACAAGCTCCTTACAAATACTAATGGCAGAAAATAAACCCCAAAGACCTCAATCCCCCCCGTTTCAAAGCCAACATACCTAGGCTCCAAGAGTACAAGCACGTAATATTTCAATATAAAGTTGGCTTGCTAAGGCATATAATATAAATCTTAGCATCCTAAATGAATCAGATAGAACCAATCATGGATTTTAAAGGCAAAAGGATATAATATAAGTGTTTCTACAATTACATCCCTATTTCTTTTGAGAAGTGCTATGGTAAACATTCAGGTTGCCAAAAAAAAAATTCTCACTTATAAATTCACATATTATCTGCTAAATTGTAGTACATCGTACCATGATAAGACTATGATGATAGACTATAAGACTGAAAATACAGCTAAAACCTATGAGGTCATTTCCTCAGAATGGCTATGTATCACTTTCTATTTTCTCTTAGATTATTTATTCATTTAAATTGCATCTTGCAGTTAAACCTGTGGGGAAAATACAATTCTAGTAAAATTCTTGGATGTCAACATAGAACCAGTTCAGTCGACGATCAAGTAAATCATAATGCTTTTCAAATTGCAGCATTTGGATAGACCTCAAAATATGCACACGCCATGAATGATTCAACCAACTTTTCAAATAGTTAAAAGAATAATTATCATAGTTCTTGAGGACGATACATCACACTATCACAGGCGACCAGGAAATTAAAAAACCATGAGTTACACTAATGTCAATGGCTGATTAGAAACGCAAATCATGTGGAGCAAGTAACACAAAATCAATAAAATGAGGTGGGAAAGTCAGACCTAATCAAAACAAAACAAAACAAAACGTAGAACAGTAGAAGCTATAAAAGCTGGTATCATAAGAAAAAAGTCCTTTTAAAGTGAATAGGTTGACCGTATCTTTTTAACAGAAGAATTTGATTAAGAGAAATTATGAACCTGTCTCTCCCACTCCATTATTCCGAAATAAGGCTCCACAGTCCACAAAAATCCTAAAATGTCTAAATCTTCACTTTGAATTATTTAACCAGTTACCACTATACCCAAATTAAAACACTATCTTATAGGATAAATTACAAATGAGTTAACTCCTAGAATAGATTAAATAATTGAATGACCACCCTTAGCCACTCCCTCCGGCGGAGCAAAACCAAAAAAAAAAAAAACACATATTAGCTATTTTAACCACTGCTTTAATGACAGAAATCCTGTGGGGACAAAAAGGAGGCTGAAAAAGGAAAACAATATGCAGGGCACGATTATGAGATTTTCAAAATATTTACAAAATGAAGATTTTCCTATAAAAGATATTACCTTTCAGCAAGCATTGCTGATCCTTCTTCAAACAGTTCCTCCACTATATTTATAGCCGAAAGCTTTTTTGACAGCTTACCAGCAGAATCATGGGACCTCTTCCTGAACAAAAGAGCCCTCAACTTGTTCTGCTTCTTGGGGGGAGGTGGCGGCGGCAATCCATTATCAGGTGGAATTATGTCAACTACTATACAAGTTGTATCATCCTTTAACCCCCTTGTCCTTAGTGCTTCCTAAAATCAGCAGTGACAAATATAACTTAAAAATATGAGGAGAAATGACAAATATGTTGCTAATGTCAAATGATTAGCTGATAGATGTAATGCATATTATTTACCTTCACAACCTGCTTCGCAGCAAGTTCAGCAGGCAAACCATGACAAGATTTTGCAGCCATTTCTGACGACAGAGCATCCCAGATGCCATCAGAAGAAATTATAAGCCTCCCACCAGCCTTTGATAGCTATAATCAACAAAAATGTCAGATTTCATCCTGAAGACTGAATAACAGTATCCATAGGGATTATAACAAAAAAATCTAAAGCAGAAGAGATTATCTGGAAGGTGGGAAGAAAATATACCTTCACTTGTTTAACATATGGTATTGGAACTATAAACTCCCCAACATCCATGTCTCCTATTGACCTAGAAAGGCATAGACCACCAGGCCAGCAACGAAGGGGACCAATCTGCATTGGTTCAGCAATACACATTTAAAACAATAATACAAGGATAAGCTAAACCAAGCTGAAAATGGAAGAGAAGAAAAATAAATAAAACGGTTCCTTTCTCCCATTTCAAGATGACAAAGGTGTTATTACAGCATAATATGCTTACCTCAGCACCACCAACAATGCTAAGCCTCCCAACTTCACCTCCACTTGCTGTAACACGTTCCCTCCTGTGTAAACAGTGCAAGCTTATTACCATGTGCAAACAGGAAAAGTTAACCAACACAGCCTCAGAGATAAAAGCTTACTCTTCTATATTTTCCTCAAGTCTGTGATCAACAGTTAAGTTGGTAACAGCACCACCTTGTGCATCTAGTATACAACGGGAATCTCCAACAGACGCAACTGTCACAGTCCACCTATCCACTATCACAAACGTGGCAGTGGTTCCAGAAGTTTCTCCTGGAGATAACCAGATAAATCACATAATACCAATTAGAATAAAGATAAAACTCCTGATCCTCCTGTTCCGTCTTTCTTTTCCATACGAAAAAGTTTGCAGTCACACAAAGTAAAAAACAATAATAGCCAATTTCCACACCTCTTCTCTGAAATTCCTTGTCAGTCTTCACAAACCCAGCAACCAATGCCCGAGGTAAAGCTTGCAGCCACTCCTCTCGTCCAATACCTCGAGGGAGAGCACCCAACACATGATTTAACAAATGCTCCCTACTATAAATGGCTGCAGCATTTCCATTGTGCCCGTCAAAGATCTGTGAATCGAAATAAATGAGCGATCATCTCAGAGGATCATGTTCTTCTATCCAAAGGCCATTCAGTTTACCACACAATTCAGAATTACAATAAGCAAAGCAGTTGCTCCACCCAAGAGTTCAAAAATAAAGTAAAATTTCAACCTAAATATGCAGAACTAGAAATCAGCAACCTCCTAACAAGCAAGTTACTGTGTCATACAGTTCAAGAGTAACAAACATAATCTGAGATGGGAATGGTGGAAATTACCGCGAATACAGAAAATGATGATGAAGAATTCCCAGGAACTCGCTGACAATCAGTCTTAATTAGAAAGTAATCCTCCCCTTTTTTAGACTGAGCAGCAGACCCGTATCTCACAGTGGGCTTCTCCATCTTCTCATTCTTCATCTCTCTGGTAAGCAATACAGCAAGAGGTACAAGATCGTGATGACGCCGCCTCCCTTCATGAGAGGCCATATCTAGCCCCAACCAGCAACTTCCTCTCAGAACCAATTGCTCAAACTCACTAAGCTCTCTTGCTCACAAAGATATCAAAACACCAAAGTCCAAAGGTGAAATACTGCAACAGGCACCCAGATCAATATTGAAGCACCCCTTCCACACAGTAAATTCTAATTGTCACAAAATCTGCATTCATCATCAACCAAGTTATCAAGCCAGGATCTAACAACTACCCACAAAACTCCAAAGTGCAAGATGCAATTTTTCACAATGCATTATGTCATTTATACTATACAATTTGTACGAAACAGTTTGGTCCCTACTGAACCTCAAAAACCATGAACTTCAATGGTTTCTTTTTAAGGTTAAAAAAAAAGCACAAAAAGAAACTTGAAGCAAGGTACAAATTAGAACATAAATTCCAAGAAGGAAAGAAACAAAGTAGCTGAATTACCGAAGAGAATGTTTGGATGTGCGCCCCACGAGAAACCGGATGCAGATCTGACTGTGACACCAAGCAAATAAGCATAAAAGAAGAAGAAGAAGAAGAAGAAGGCAAGATATCAACTTGTATACGAAACGCGTGTTGATGACAAGGTATGAACTGTAAAAGCGATTAATCTAAAACCATAATCTTCTATTAAAATATAAAACAATTTCTATACCACACTTCCAAAAATAAAACTCAAAAAGGCTTTAAAATTTTATTTAGGAGTTAGGACCAACCCGTGTCGCTACAAAACAATTTGTTCCACCAAATAATAAAAAAAATATATATTCACTATAAAAAAACCCATTCGTTAACCTTAACCACAAAAAGGGATGACAGTAAAACAAATGCTTTCATGCATCGAAGGAAGAAAGTGTCTTTTGCTAAATGTTGACTAAGCAGCTGTCTGTCAAAATATTAAATAGAAACCCACATTCTGTTTCTGTGAAAAGTTGCTAACTTTAACGCTATTTTTTTTATTTTTCCCAATATGATATTCCTTACCCATTAGGAAATCAGCGAAACCCGTATTCCTTACTTTCGGCAAAATTTACAGCGAGAAAGTACTAGGAAAATTAACATTGCAATTGTAAAGAACTTTTTCATATACACCACTCTAACATGCTTTCTCACACTAAAGCGCCCATCACATGAAAGTTCAATGCAACAGGCCCGCTAAGAAATTTCACAATAAGAGAAAGTGAGAGGCGGCGAAGCTCTGATACCATGTGAAGAACCTTAGGATACACCTCCTCAAAAGTTAGCTCAAAATATGGAAGTGTCCAAGGCCTTATAAACTCCACATTAGTTGCACATACAACTAATGTGGATACACCTCCTCAAAAGATGAAAGTGTCCAAGGCCTTATAAACTCTACATTGGAAACTGATCCTAATTATCTCTTTGAGGCAAATCAGAACCCCCGGTATTCTCACGGGTTCGACAAATCCAGAATTCGGGTGCGAGTCCAAGGATTACGGTACTTATGCCCCTCCCCCAGATGGTGTTGGTGGGATTCGAACCGAGGTGTGAGGTATCAGACCTCGGTTAGATATATAGTCTCACATTTGTTAGATGTGCAACTAATGTGGCCTTTATAAGGCCTTGAGCACTCTCACCCTTTGAGCTAGCTTTTGGGTGGTGTATCCCAAGGTTTTTACATGGTATCAGAGCCTCAGTGTCTCCCGCTTTAAAAAGTGGAATTAAAATAAAATAAAAAAAGCACAAAAAGGTAAACCAAAAATGAGCCTGTGCAATTTCCACGCTTCTAGCCTAAAGGGCTCTTGCGTGAGGATCAGATTTGGTGCTGTTGAAACCGAACTTTTGTAATGTAAGGTTGAGGGTATTGAACCAAGCACGAGGAGCCTGTTTGAGGCCATAAAGGGCTTTATTCAGCTTGCATACAAGATGAGGATTGTTACTAGGAACTCCATCAGGTTGCTGCATGAAGACATCTACTTGTAAGGTACCACAAAGGAAGGCATTATTAAAATCAAATTGTCTTATGATCCAGCCATTTGTGAGGGCAATGGAGAGAATGAGTCGAATTGTAGATGGCTTGATGACAAGGCTGAAAACTTCACTGAAGTCAAAGCCTTCTCTTTGTTGAAAACCTTTGGCAACAAGACGAGCCTTGTATTTTTGAATTGTGCCATTTGGTTGTCTCTTGATGCGAAAGATCCACTTGGAGCCAATAGGTTTGATGTTAGGTGGAGGAGGAATAAGAGTCCAAGTACCATTTTTGATGAGGGCCTAAATTTCCTCAGCCATAGCTTGCTTCCAGTGAGGACAATTTAAAGCTTGAGAGACATTCGCAGGTTCTGAATTCTGAAGGTCTGATGATGAGTCTTGGAGGGCCGTGGCATATGTCTTAGGTTTATGGATGTCAGACTTGCTTCTGGTTTGCATAGGATGTGAATTAAGAGGAGAAGAATTATGACTAGAGATGGAAGCAAAGCTGTCAACTGCTGTGGTGGTGGGAATGTGATGAGGTGACCGGTGTGCTGAACCTGAAAGAGAAAGACTAACCAAAACATTAGTAGCATCTGGTGAGATGGTGGGTGATGAAGATGGACAGGATGTAATGGGAACAACAGGTAAACTCTGAGACGTAGTATGCTTAGAGATGCAAGGGATTTTAGGAATAGAAGGATGACGAGATGTACAGGATGTAAGAGTAGTAGTGTTAGGAAACAAAACAGAATAGGGAAAATCAATTTCATCAAAAATAACATCTCGAGAGATATAAATCTTCCCTGTGGGAGAGAGACATTTGTATCCTTTTTGATTGAGTGCATATCCTAAAAATAGACACTTGTGAGATCTAAAATCAAGTTTATGTTTGTTATAAGATCGAAGTAAAGGAAAGCATGCACAGCCAAAAACTTTCATAAACTTGTAATCAGGTTTGTTGTGATGAATCAGTTCGAAAGGTGATTTTAGATTTGTAACAGGAGATGGCAATCGATTTATAAGATATGTAGCAGTGGAAAAAGCATCCTCCCAAAATGATAAAGGGAGTTTGGCATGAGCCAAGAGTGCTAGACCAACTTCTGTGATATGTCTATGTTTTCTCTCAACTCTACCATTCTATTGATGAGAGTAAGGGCAGGTAAGTCTATGAGTGATGCCATGAGTGAGCAGAAAGTGAAGAAAATCATTAGATAAGTATTCTGTGCCATTATCAGTTTGAATTGATTTGATTTTTAAGCCAATGAGAGTTTCAATCATGGATTTATATTGCAAAAAGGTTTGAAAAACTTGAGATTTATTTTGCAAGAGATAAATGCAACTATATCGAGTGAAAGCATCCACAAACAAAACATAATATCTGCTTCCAGAGGTGCCAGGCATTGGAGCTGGTCCCCATACATCCGAAAAAATGAGATCAAGAAGAGCAGCATAAGTGGTGGTAGAAGTAAAGTGAGGTAACTGATGAATTTTGCCCATACAGCATGCTTCACAAATAGAATGAGTCATTGCAGTTTTATTGTCAAAAACAGGAAAATTACATTGTTGTAGTACTGATGTAACAATTTTTGAGCTAGCATGACCTAATCTTTTGTGCCATAGATCAAAGGAAACATGTTTAGAATACAAAGCTATAGGGGGTGTAGGAACAGATGAGCTGTTATTAACTAATACATTTGAAAATTGATAGAGACCATCTTTAAGCTTGCCTTTGAGGACAATGTCCTTAGTTACCTGAGATTTTACAAGGCAATAATCAGGAAAAAATTCAAAATAGACTTTGTTATCTCTAGCAAATTGAGATACACTAATTAAATTTTCGGTTATGGAAGGTACTTGTAGCAGATTATCAAGTTTAAAAAGAAAGGAAGATGCAGTTGAGGTTAAAACAGAATTGCCAACATGATGGATATGCATACCTGCACCATTTCCAATTTGAACTTGCTCAGAGCCATTATACTCAGAGCTGGAAGAAAAATTACCAAGATCATGGGTGAGGTGATGAGTGGTACCAGAATCTGGATACCAAGAGCTGTCAGTGAGTGATGCTGGTCCTGCCATATATGCTTTGGGGTTGTGGAATTAAGGAGGTGGAGGTGGAGGATGTTAGGGATTCTGAACATTCTGTGATGGTTGTTGGTAGTTGGAGTCAAACCTGTAGAAACATTTTAAAGCAGGACGTCCTAACCTTCCACAGATTTGGCATTGCAAATGATTTTGATTCCAAGAATTCCAAGGTGGACCTTGTGATCTTCCACCTCTGAACCCGCGGCCTCCTCTACCTCTTCTTCCTCCAAAAGATCTGCTTTCATTGTTGTTGAACCTGGTTTCAGTGTTATTGAACCTGTTTTCATTGTTAGTGAATCTGTTTCCCTGTTGTGCAGTAGCTTGTGTGACATTGGCCTGAATGGGAACAGGATCAGTTTTCTTGAACTTTTCGAGTATTTCTTCTTGAGCAAGAAGAAAGGCTTCTAACTCAATTATGGAAAAGGGTGGGGATCTTGACATTGCAGAAGTGATTAATAGAGTGTACTCTTCACTCAAACCATCAAGAATAGCTTCTGAATATTCTGCATCAGTTAATGGGGAGCCTACAGCACCCAAAGAATCAATGATCTTCTTGATTTGAAGGAGGTAGTCTGATGCTGGTCCCTTTTTCTTGATGTTTTTCAACTGGTTTTTCAATTGTTTAACCTTTGCCTGTGTATGTGAAGCAAAGTATACTTGCAGCTTTGTCCAGATTTCATGAGCAAATTTGCATCCTACCATTCTGTTTTTGAAGGATATGTTCTTGGAAGAGAGCAGCCAAGACACAAGAAGATGATCTTGCTGATGCCAGGTTGCATAACCTTCTGATTCTTTTTCACGATCTTTATCTTCTTGGGTAGAGAAACGAGTAGGGATCTTTTCTTCACTGAGATGATCCTGCAGGTTGTGGCCATGGATGGAAGCAAGAGCCAATTGCTCCCAAGGAAGAAAGCTGTCTTCATCAAGTTTGTTTGCAATTGGGTTTGAGAAAGATTTTATAATGAGCTTTACTGATTTTGCATTTTCGGAGCTTGTAGATGATCTTGGTGATGATTGAGGAGATGCCATGGATCGTTGAAAAGCTCTGATACCATGTGAGGTATCAGACCTTGATGCTTAAAGAAGAAAATCACACACAGTGTGAAGAGGAAAAACAGATAACGAAGAAGAAGATTGAATGAATTGATATTGTATATGGATATATTGCAAAGGGATACATGTGCTGCTATATATAGCAGTTGGGAAAAGAGGGAAAAGTAAATAACAGAAATAACAGAATAACAGAAATATTAATCATTATCTATCATTATCTATCACGAGGTCCTCTCTCACCACTCAGTCCCCATGCTACCAACTGAGCCACCACACTTGGGTAAAGACAAATTTATATGGTTTAATAATGTATTGTGAATACTAGATTTAAAGTACGCATTGTGTATACGAAGTTTTATAAATTTCATATAATTTAAGGTAGAACTAATGTTTTAAACTCGTTTAACATGGAAAGTAATATAAAAAAGTAATTTTAAATATCTTTATTATTAAACTAAAACTGAACATGTAACCATTTCTTAAAAAAAAATTCATAAAAAATAAAACTAATAACATAATTACAATTATACCAATAAATATTG